CCTTCAATTCTATTTTGATTTTAGTTATATCTTGTCTTCTGCTAGCTTTTGAATTTGTTTGCTCTTGCTTCTCTGGTTCTTTTAATGGCTGATTTTAGATCTTTTTGCTTTCTCCTGTGGGCATTTAGTGCTATAAATTTCCTTCTAAACATTGCTTTAGCTATGTCCCAGAGCTTCTGGTAGGTTGTGTCTTCGTTCTCATTGGCTTCAAAGAATTTCTTTATTTCTGCCTTAACTTCGTTATTTACCCAGTATTCATCCAGAAGCAGGTTGCTCAGTTTCCATGTAGTGTTTTCGAGTGAGTTTCTTAATCCTGAGTTCTAATTTCATTGCACTGTTGTCTGAGAGACTGTTTGTTATGATTTCCATTCTTTTGCATTTGCTGAGGAGTGTTTTACTTCCAATTATGTAGTCAATTTTAGAATAAGTGCTATGTGGTGCTGAGAAGGATGTATATTCTGTTGATTTAGGGTGGAGAGTTCTGTATATGTCTATTAGGCCTGCTTGATTCAGAGCTGAGTTCAAGTCCTGAATATCTTTGTTAATTTTCTGTCTCATTGATCTGTTTAATATTAGCACTGGGGTGTTAAAGTCTTCCACTATTATTGTGTGAGAGCCTAAGTCTCTTTGTAGGTCTCTAAGAACTTGCTTTATGAATCTGGGTGCTTCTGTATTGGATGCATATATATTTAGGATAGTTAGCTTTTCTTCTTGCTTTGATCCCTTTACCATTATGTCATGCCCTTCTTTGTCTTTTTTGATCTTTGTTGGTTGAAAGTCTGTTTTAGCAGAGACTAGGAATGCAACTCCTGCTTTTTTTTTTCTTGCTTTCCATTTGCTTGGTAAATCTTCCTCCATCCCTTTAAATTGAGCTAATGTGTGCCTTTGCATGTGAGATGGGTCTCCTGAATACAGCACACTGATGGGCCTTGACTCTTTATCCAATTTGCCAGTCTGTACCTTTTAATTGGGTCATTTAGCCCATTTACATTTAAGGTTAATAGTATTATGTGTGAATCTGATTCTGTCATTATGATACTAGCTATTATTTTGCCCATGAGTTGATGTAGTTTCTTCACAGTGTTGATGGTCTTTACACTTTGGTTTGTTTTCACAGTGGCTGGCTGGTAACAATTTTTCCTTTTCCATATTTGGTGCTTCCTTCAGGATCTCTTGTAAGGCAGGCCTGGTAGTGACAAAATCACTCAGCATTTGCTTGTCTGTAAAAGATTTTATTTCTCCTTCACATATGAAGCTTAGTTTGGTTGGATATGAAATTCTGAGTTGAAAATTATTTTCTTTAAGAATGTTGAATATTGACCCCTACTCTATTCTGGCTTGTAGAGTTTCTGCAAAGAAATCTACTGTTAGTCTGATGAGCTTCCCTTTGTGGGTAACCCGACCTTTCTTTCTGGCTGCCCTTAACATTTTTTCCTTCATTTCAATCTTGGTGAATCTGATGATTATGTGTCTTGGGGTTGGTCTTCTTGAGGAGTATTTTTGTGGTGTTCTCTGTATTTCCTGAATTTGAATGTTGGCCTGTCTTGCTAGGTTGGCAAAGTTCTCCTGGATAATATCCTGAAGTGTGTTTTCCAACTTGGTTCCATTATCTCTGTCACTTTCAGGTACACCAATCTAGTGTAGGTTTGTCTTTTCACACAGTCCCATATTTCTTACAGGCTTTGTTCATTCCTTTTTCTCTAGTCTTGCCTTCACACTTTATTTCATTAAGTTGATCTTAGTATCTGATATCCTTTCTTCTGCTTGATCAGTTTGGCTATTGATACTTGTGTATGCTTCACAAAGTTCTCGTGCTGTGCTTTTCGGCTTTGTCAGGTCATTATGTTCTTCTCTAAACTGGTTATTCCAGTTGGCAATTCCTCTAACCTTGATTATCAAGTTTCTTAGCTTCCTTGTATTGGGTTAGAACGTGCTCCTTTAACTCAGTGGAGTTTGTTATTACCCACTTTCTGAAGCCTACTTCTGTCAATTTGTTAAACTCATTATCTATTCTGTTTTGTTCTCTTGCTGGAGAGGAGCTGTGAGCCTTTGGAGGAGAAGAGGCATTCTGGTCTTTGGAATTTTCAGCTTTTTTGTGCCAGTTTTTCTTATCTTCATGGATTTATCTACCTTTTGTCTTTGCTGTTGGTAACCTTCAGATGGAGTTTTTGCATGTGGTCATCCTTTTTGTTGATGTTGATGCTATAGTTTTCTCTTTGTTAGTTTTCCTTCTAATAGGCCCCTCTTCTGCAGGTCTGCTAGAGTTTGCTGGGAGTCCACTTCAGACCTTGTTTGCCTGAGTATCACCAGCAGAGACTGCAGAACAGAAAAGAATTCTGCCTGGCCCTTCCTCTGGAAGCTTTGTCCCAAGGGAGCACCCACCAGATGCCAGCCAGAGCTCTCCTGTATGAGGTGTCTATCAATCCCTGCTGGGAGATGTCTCCCCATCAGGAGGCACGGGGGTCAGGGACCCACTTGAGGAAGCAGTCTGTTCCTTAGCAGAGCTTGAGCACTGTTCTGGGAGCTCTCTTCAGAGCCAGCAGGCAGGAATGTTTAGGTCTGCTGAAGCTGTGCCCACAGTTACCCCTTCCCCCAGATTCTCTGTCCCAGGGAGATGAGAGTTTTACCTGTAAACCCCTGACTGGGGCTGCTGCTTTTCTTTCATAGATGCCCTACCCAGAAAGGAGGAAGCTAGAGAGGCAGTTTGGCTACACTGGCTTTGTGATATCGTGGTGGGCTCTGCCCAGTCTGAATTTCCCAGTAGCTTAGTTTACCTGTGATGGAAAAACTGCCTACTCAAGCCTCAGTAATGGTAGACGCCCCTTCCTCCACCAAGATCAAGCATCCCAGGTCAATTTCAGACTGCTGTGCTGGCAGCGAGAATTTTAAGCCAGTGGATCTTAGCTTGCTGGGCTCTGTAAGGGTAGGATCTGCTGAGCTAGATCACTTGCCTCCCTGGCTTCAGCCCCCTTTCCATGGGAGTGAACAGTTCTGTCTCACTGGCATTCCAGGCACCACTGGGGTATGAAAAACAACTCCTGCAAGTAGCTGGGTGTCTGTCCAAAAGGCTGCACAATTTTGTGCTTGAAACCTAGGGCCCTTGTGGTTTAGGCACCCAAGGGAATCTCCTTGTCTGTGGGTTGTGAAGACCATGGGAGAAGCGTAGTATCTGAACCATATAGCACCATGCCACACTGCACGGTCCCTGACAGCTTCCCTTGACCAGGGCAGGGAGTTCCCTGATCCCTGAATTTCCCAGGTGAGGCAGTGCCCCACACTGCTTTGGCTTGCCCTCCATGAACTGCACCCACTGTCTAATCAGTCCCAATGAGATGAACTGGGTACCTCAGTTGGAAATGCAGAAATCACTGCTGTCTGCATTGTTCTCACTGGGAGCTGTACACCAGAGCTGTTCCTATTCAGCCATCTTGCCCAGGAAGCCCATAAATTATTTATTATTATTATTATTATTATTATTATTATTATTATTATTGAGATGGAGTCTTGCTCTGTCACCAGGCTGGAGTGCAGTGGCGCAGTCTTGGCTCACTGCAACCTCTGCCTCCTGGGTTCAAGCAATTCTTCTGCCTCAACCTCCCGAGTAGCTGGGACCACAGGCATGTGCCACCACACCCTGCTAATTTTTTTGTATTTTTAGTAGAGACAGGGTTTCACGGTGTTGGCCAAGATGGTCTCAATCTCTTGACTTCATGATCCGCCTGCCTTGTTTTTGAAGTTTTTAAAGCTAACTTTTGAATATTTCACATTAGGCTGGTCACATTTCAAGTCAATAGCCACATATGGCTAGTGGCTATCATACTGGATAGGACAGTTCTAAAATATGCTCTCAATTCTGATGTTTTAAAAGAAATCTAGGTTAACTGGATTCTAAACAGAATAATCAGATCTGGAAACCAGTATAAGCAGGAAATAGAGGAAACATGAAGTTAGCCTTGCAATACGTATTTCTAAGAAGACAAAAGGAATAACTGAGAGACATCTTCAAATATGTGAATTGCTGTTATAGAAGAAAAATAGACTTGTGCTATACTACTCCTTAAAGTGACTACATAAAAAGAGACAAGGAGAATCCAGGTTTGACCTAGAATGATCCCTCTCATACTCTAATTAAAATTATACAAATTATCCATGGAATCATTTAACATGCAAGGTGCATTGATTACATCACTGTCACGAATGAATCAGCCCTTACAAATCCATACCCCTTTCCATGCAATTTTGCAATGCCCTCCCACTCCAGTTGAGGCATTCTGTCCCTTTTCTGTCTCTGGGCTTGACCATGTGACTTTGCATTGCTAATGAAAAATTAGTCAACTCTACACACACACACACAAAAAAAAAGATTTTAAAATGAACTAAGGGATTTCCACTTTTATTTTAGCCCTCTTCCATAATTATGAAGAAGCCATACCTAGACCTTCCCACAGGGCCATCTTAGATCATATGAGAATCAGCTGACACCCCCAGATATGTGAATACAGCCAAGATTATCTAAACAGCCCAACAGATCCAAGACTGACTTGGCAAAGATCAGCAAAGACCAAGCCCATATCCTCTGAACCCTGCAAGCTCACAAGCTAAGTAAACACTTATTGTTAGATACCACTGAGGTTTTAAGGTCGTCTTTTATGCATTGTTGCATAATAAATAGTTTATATAGCATTTTTCTTTCAAAATTTATCAGCCAAAAAATTTATCATCTTTGGAAAACACGTTATACATTTAAGTCCCCATTTTTTTCTCCAGCATTATGTGAATTCCAAGTTTCGTTTTATAGAGATGGTATAAAACTGGCAAAAAAAAAAAAGATTTTATTATTTTTCTTCCTTATTTTAATGACAAAGGACCTGGATTATAAAAGTAAAGACAAGAAGAACCTCCTATTAAGATGTAGGATATTACATTTACACAGTTAACTGTAATGTTTAATCTGTAGACAACTGGGAAAAGATTTATAAATTGTAGTAAATTAGTCTTACCTGAGCTGCTGTAAAGTTCGCCAAAAAATAATTTCCATTTTCATAGGTATCTGCAAACAAGGAAAAGAAAAGAATAAACATCTACTAATTGCTTCAATCCAGCAAATAATCTTGTGCACAGTCAGAAAATATCTCAATAGGGTCACAATTAGTGATGATTGTCACCTCTCTGGGGAGTACTGAACATAGTGGCTAAGGGACTATTTCACTGCATGTTAGTGTTGGGATGTGCAAATGGAAATGGGTACCTTGCCATGGAGGTCAGAAGGTTACAAATGTGAGAGAATCTGGATTGAATTAAGGACAGATTTCATAGCTGAAGTGTAGAGACTACTGTTGGGTTATTCTCTGTGACTACCACCAAGCACATAGTCATGGGAGTTGACATAGCTATGATGTTAAAGGCTATGATGATAAAGCAGAGATGAGTGGTTAGGAATTTAGACTCACAATTTAGACATGGATTGAAATCCCAACTCTTTCACAGTTGTGCAACCTCAGACAATTTACTTAACATTTTATCATCTATAGAATGGAGATAGTAGTACCTAGTTAATGGCAGTAAGGTACATAACATTATGCTTGTGCAGAATAAGGGCTTAAAATTGGTTGCTCACTGCCAAAAAATGGTCTTAAGAATAAAAGCAATTCCAGTCAAAATTCCAGAAGGTGGTCTTGTTGTTGTTAAAAATTGACAAGCTGATTTTAAAACCTGTGTGAAATACAAAACAGCTAAAATAACCAATGCAATTTTAAAAAAAGAAGAATATGAAGACTATTTCCTTCTAGGATTTTTATAGTTTGAGGTCTTACATTTAAATCTTTAATCCATCTCAAGTTAATTTGTGTATACAGTGAAAGGTTCTAAATAAAATGTGCCATTAATATGTAAAATAAATAAAACCCTATTCTAAACTTTTAATATGAGACACTTTACATTAAAATTAGCATGTTTAGCTTATGAAAACAAAATGAAAGTAAATAAGTAAATAAACATCACACACTGGGGTCTGTTGGGGGCAGGAAGCTAGGGGTGGGACAGCAGGGGACCAGGAGGTTGGGGAGGGATAACACTGGGAGAAATGCCTGATATAGGTGATGGGGGCATGGAGACAGCAAACCATCATGGCATGTGTGTACGTATGCAACAATCCTGGAAGATCTGCACAGGTACCCCAGAACTTAAAGTACAATAAAAATTAAATAAATAAATGTAATAAAAATAATTTTAAAAAATAGGCAAAGGACATGAACAGACACTCCTCAAAAGAAGACAAGTAAGTGACCAATAAATGTGAAAATTTTATCATCACCAATCATTAGAGAAATGCAAATCAAAACCACTATTACTAAGAAGTCAAATAATAATGTATGCTTGCAAGGCTGCAAAGAAAAGGAAACACTTAAACAACACTTAAACACTGTTGGTTAACATGTAAGTTAGTTCAGCAGCTGTGGAAAGTAGTCTGGAGATATATCAAAGAAGTTAAAACAGGACTACCATTCAACCCAGCAATCTCATTACTTGATATATACCCAGAGGAAAATAAATCATTCTACTGAAAGGACCCATGCACTTGTATGTTCCTTGCAGTCCTATTTGCAATTGCAAAGACATGGAATCAACCCAGGTGTCTATCAACAAAGAATTGGATAAAGAAAAAGTGGTACATATATACAATGAAATACTACACAGCCCATAAAAAATATTGAAATCATGTCCTATGCAGCAGGATGGATACAGCTGGAGGCCACAATCTTAACACAGAAAAGAAAGCCAAATAATGTATTTTCTTACTTATAAGTGGAAGCTAAACACTGAGTACCTATGGACATAAAGATGGGAACAATAGATACTGCAGGCTACTAGAGGGGGTAACAAGGAATGGGGGATGTGAGTTGAGAAACTACCCATTAGTTACTATGTTCACTACCTGGGTGATGGGATCCATACCCCAAACCTCAGCATCATGCAATATATCCATGTAACAAACCTTCATATTTACCCTGGATCTAAAATAAAAGTTGAAATTATAAAAATAAATTAAAAAGAAAAATAAAAAGAAGAACAAAGTAGGATAAGTTATCCAACCTAATTCTATCACCAACTATAAAGCTATGTTAGTCAAGACAGTATGGTATTGGCTTAAGGAAAATAGATCATATAAATCAATGAAACAGAATAAATAATCAAAAAAAAAACTCTCTCAAACATAACCTACTGTTATTTGACAAAAGTGACAAGATAATAAAAATGGGAAAAGACTGTACTTTCAAAAATGTGGTGCTGGAACAACTGGATAAATATATGAGAAAAAATGGAATGTTGACATACACATATACATACATACATAAAAATTTCATGAAAAATAGATGATGGTCTTCAGTGTGAAAGCTAAAACTTTAAAACTTTCAAAAATAAAGAGCCTATATACCCAAAGCAAGACTGAGCAAAAAGAACAAATCTGGAAGCATCACATTACCTTACTTCAAACCATTCTATAAGGCCATAGTCACCAAAATAGCATGGTACTAACATAACACAGGCACATAGACCAATAGAACAAAATAGAGAACCCAAAAATAAACCCAAATACTTACAACCAACTGATGTTTGACAAAGCAAACAAAAACAAAACAGGGAAAGGTCACCCTATAGAACAAATGGTGCTAATTGACAAGCCACATGTAGAAAAATGAAACTGGATCCTCATCTCTAACCTAATACAAAAATAAACTCAAGATGGATCAAGGACTTAAATCTAAGACCTGAAACTATCACAAATCTAGAAGATAACTTCAGAAAACCCTTCTAGACATTGGCTTAAGCAAAGACTTCATGACCAAGAACCCAAAAGCAAATGCAACAAAAACAAAGAAAATTGGTGGGACTTAAACTAAAGAGCTTCTGCACAGCAAAAGGAACAGTCAGCAGAGTAAACAGACAACCCATGAAGTGAGAGAAAATCCACAATCAAACATCAGACAAAGGACTAATATCCAGAACCTACAAGGAACTCAAATAAATGAGAAAAAAAAAACAAACAATTTCATCAAAACGTGGGTTAAAGACATGAATAGACAATTTTCAGAAGAAGATTTACAAATGGCCAACAAACATATGAAAAAAATGTTCAACATTAATAATGATCAGGGAAAAACAAATCAAAACCTCAATGCAATACCACCTTACTCCTACAAGAATGGCCATAATCAAAAAAATCATAAAATAATAGATGTTGACATCGATGCATGAAAAGGAAACACTTTTACACTGCTGGTGGGAATGTAAACTAGTACAATGACTGTGGGAAACAGTGTGGAGATTCCTTAACTAACTAAAAGTAGAACTACTATTTAATCCAGCAATCCCACTACTGGGTATCTACTGAGAGGAAAAGAAGTCATTACACAAAAAAGACATTTGCAACCAGGCACAGTGGCTCACAACTGTAATCCCAGCACTTTGGGAGGCCAAGACAGGCAGATCACAAGATCAGGAGTTTAAGACCAGCCTGACCAACATGGTGAAACCCCAACTCTACTAAAATTACAAAAATTAGCCAGGTGTGATGGTGGGTGCCTGTAATCCCAGGTACTCAGGAGGCTGGGGCAGAGGATTCACTTGAACCTCGGAGGCGGAGGTTGCAGTGAGCTGAGATTGCACCATTGCACTCCAGTCAGGTGACAGAATGAGACTCAGTCTCAAAAGAAAAAAAGATACAACACTTGACACACATGTTTATAGCAGTCCAAGTGCCCATCAATCAATGAATGGATAAAGAAATGGTGGTATACATATATATATATGTATATATGTATACCATATATATATATCATATATATATATATATATATATATATATATATATATGATGGGAAAGTACTCAGCCATAAGAAGGGATGAGTTGATGACATTCGCAGCAACCTGATTAGAACTGGAGACTATTATTCTAAGTGAAATAACTCTGGAATGGAAAACCAAACATCATATGTTCTCACTCATAAGTGGGAGCTAAGCTATCAAGATGCAAAGGCATAAGAATGATACAATAGACTCTGGGGACTTGGGAGAAAGGGTGGGAGGGGGTGAGGGATCAAAGACTACAAATTGGGTTTAGTATATACCAAAATCTCACAAATTGCTACTGAAGAACTTACTGATATAACCAACTGTTACCTGTTCCTCCAAAACCTATGGAGATTAAACAAATTTTGAAAATATTATATATATATATATATATAGTAACACTGGGATAGGCCAAGACATCAAATACGGAAATCATAAAAGAAGAGCATAAACAAATTGATTTTTATCAAGATTAAGCTTTGCTTTTTGCAAGACACCATAATGGGACTGAAAAGGCAAACCATAGATAGGGAGATGCAAATTGTATGCCTGACAAAGGACTGGTATGCATAAGTTACAGCTCAATAATAACAAAAAAAAAATGCAGCAATAAATGGGCCAAGGACTTGAAGCAATATCTCAGAGAAAAAGACATTCAACTGGCCAAAAAACACATAATAAGATGCTCAACATCAAGCTCAATCATAATTAAATGCAAATTAAATCTATAATACAATGCACTATATATCTACTAGAATAATTACAGTTTTTAAAATCGACAATACTAAGTATTGGTGAGGATGTGAAAAACTAGAACTTTCAATTAATGGATAATAGTACAGCCACTTTAGAAAATCATTTGGCAATTTCTTAAGAAACTAAATGTGTGTTTATTGTATGACCTGGCTCAGAAATTCCACTCCCACTTTTTTACCTAAGAGAGATGAAAACGTATGATCACAAAATAACATACATTTAAATAATAATGCAAGATTTATTTTAGTGGTCAAAAGATTAAACCACTGAAATATTCATCAATAAGTACATTGGTCAATAGTCATATAGGCTATTACCATGGAAGACACCATGGATTATTATTAGTTAGAAATAAAAAATAATTAATTCCTTTTACATGCCACAGCATGGATGAATATAAAAAGCACTTTGCTAAATGAAAAATGCTAAAAATACAAAAATAGTACATATTGGATAATTCTATGCATACAAAATCTAGAAAATATAAATCTAATCTATAATGACAGAAAGCAGAACAGTAGTTGCCAGATGCTGGAAGGAAAGATCAAAAGTGGGAAGAAGCTGACTAGAAAGAAGTACAGCTGTCCCTGGGTATCCATAGGGGGTTGGTTCTAGGACCCCTCAGATATCAAATTCCATGGATGCTCAAGTTCCTTATATAAAATGGTGTGCTATTTGCAGATAATGTACATACGTCCTCCTGTGTACCTTAAATCATCTCCAGAGTACTAATAATAACTGATCCAATGTAAACACTATGTAAATCATTGTTATCCTATATTGTTTATAAAATAATAACAAAAAAACATATTTGTACATGGTTAGTACAGATGCAACTATTGTAGGCTACATTTTCAAGCCAGAGTTGGATGAATCCACAAGCAGACTATAAATGGGGAACTTTTGGGGTTATAAAAATATTCCACATCTTCATTGTAGTAGTGGCTATACAACTGTATACATTTGTCAAAACTTAACTGTATTCTTAAAATGGATACATTTTATTTCTATAAATCATAAGTCTTTTAAAGTGTATTAAAAGACAGTAATATCACTTCCAGGAATCTACTCTATGGACATAATCTAAAAGATAAACAAAGGTTAATACTCAAGGATGTTATTTATGGGCTGGGAACAGTTGCTCATGCCTGTAATCCCAGCACTTTGGGAGGCCAAGGCGGGTGGATCACTTGAGGCCAAGAGTTTGAGACCAGCCTGGCCAACATGGTAAAACCCCATCTCTACTAAAAATACAAAAATTAGCTGGGTGTGGTGGCGGGCACCTGAGCTACTCTGGGAGGCTTAGGCATGAGAAACACTTGAACCTGGTAGAAGGAGTTAAAGTGAGCTGAGATCGCACCACGGCCACCTGTATGAGAGAGTGAGACTCAAAAAAAAAAAAGGATGTTATTTATAACAATAAAATAGATAACCATCCTGTACATATCCTCTCAATAGAGTATGACCATCATAGTGGTATTTATAAGGACTGAATAATAACATTCACACTTGCTTCTGTCATTATGTTAGAGGAAAATAAACAGGATTCACAAATTAAATTATGCAGAATATTTTCAGCCATATTACAAATTAAGCATTTTCTTAATATAAAAGCCAGTTAGTACAGCAAAAATATTAAAAGTGCTTGTTTTTTTTCTAATTTTCTATCTTTAATGTGTATAATAAAGAATATCTTTCCTTTAATGAGAATTTATTATCCTTTAAGGAACCTAAAAGAGAAGGATTCTCTAGAAATATTAGTAGTGAAAAATAAGCTATAATTTCAGAAAATGTGGTATGTTGCAAGATTAGAATGTTCTGGTCCACAGTAATAAGTAGTGTAAAGTGAGAGTCAGTCGGTAACAGTGTGTCTGTATTTCTGCAGAAAGGTCTGAGTTAGAGGGTGTTCTGATTATAATGACAAATCCCACTTATCCAAAGTAGAACTAACATGTTCTACCTCAATTAGGGAAAGGAAACATACAAAGTAATATTTCACTGATGCAAGTATCCTTTTGGCAATGTTTTATTCCCAATTTATGAGTCACCAAGAAATTTTCTAACCTCTAAATTGCCTCCTGAGCAGGCCTATTTATGAGAAACGGGATGCCTGGTATAGATGGCTGACCCAAATAACAGAGTCATATTTCTGTCCCATTGATAATGAATGAACCAACAGCCTGATATTTGCATCCACACTTCTTTTTAAATAAAGGGTGAGACAGTTATACAGAGAAGATCATCCCTGGTTGAATCCATAACAGCAAGTTCCTGAACCTACAAAGCTGGGGACTGTACCTAGTCTATACTAACTATGGTATAATATAAATTAGCAGGCAAAATTCTCCAGATGTTATTGACTTATAGACAATAGGCAAAGATAGGTTTTCAGTTCATGCTAACTATATGCTGAGCCTCAATGGTATGATTTTTCTGAATGACATATAGGGACCCTGGAAAGTTTACACTCACCAATGCTTTGTCCATCATCCCAGAACATCTGGCCTTCAGCTTTCCCATTGTCATCCAAAGCAACAATCAATCCCATAAAATTTTGTCGACTACCAAAAAAAAAGAAAAAAAAGAGTTATTTTTCTCTAGATTGCAGATGGTAAGAATAAACGACAAACTGTGTTAAAATTATTGCTTATCCAGAAATAAAAGAAATGTATTAAATATTTATATAAAGTTCTAAAAATAGGTAAAATAGATAAAATATCAGACACTTAAAAGTTAATAGAAAACGGCCAGGTGTGATGACTCATGCCTGTAATCCCAGCACTTTGAAAGGCCACGGTGGGCTGATCACGAGGTCAGGAGTTCGAGACCAGCTTGATCAACATGGTGAAACCCCTTCTTTACTAAAAATACAAAAATTAGCCAGTCATGGTGGCATGCACCTATAACTCCAGCTACTCAGGAGGCTGAGGAAGAATTGCTTGAACCCAGGAGGCAGAAGTTGCAATGAGCTGAGATCACACCACTGCACTCCAGCCTGGGTGACAGAGTGAGAGTCTGTCTCAAAAAAAAAAAAAAAGTTAATAGAAAAACATTTAAAATGTAATAAAACATTTGGTTTCACTTTAATTTCTAAAAATCAAATATACATCCAAGTAATATAATGAAATATTAATTTCATAGGAAGAAAATCCCTCAAAAGACAATCCTCAGTAGCTTTCAGGTTGCCACAGAATAAAATCCAAAGTAGTTGGCTTGTCATTCACCACCCTCCAGAATTTGATCCTAATCTGCTGGAGTTTCACTTATTTTATCTCTACCTTTGTCTGTACTCCGGTTTAACTGGATGGCTTACAGTTCCCAAACCCAACCCATTTTTCATCTTCAGTTCTTTAAACTGACCAGGATCTCTCTGTTCCCTGTCTTTGTACATTCAAATCTCATTCATTATGCAAGATCCAGCTCAAAGCCCTCTTTTATATAAAACCATGTGTTACACTACAAGACTGAAAGTTAACTTCTCTCCTTTTGGGTTGTTATTGTTTTTATGTGCCTCTCTTGATGTGTTCTGTCTAATCAATGATTTTATAAATTTTTACATATTATATGTGTATATTTATGTGTGCATCCATATATAAATTCACACACACACACACACACACACACACACACACACACACACACAATCTTTCCTTGGTTGACCAGAGTGGACCTAGGAGTGAGCACTAAGTCCTTGGGTAGGAAAAGAACTCAATCCTACCTAGTCCTCGTTTGATCACAAGTCAAAGAGTTCATTAATATTCCCTATTCCTTTTTAATAGCATAGAAAGAGAAACATTTTTCTGCCCTCAAGAACATTTTTGTTTTTGATACAGCACTACAGACAAAAAACAAAAATCTCTCTAAGAGTCACTTCATGAATTCATCTTCCTCCAGTTCCCACCCAGAAAGCACTCACAGGATCTGACCAATAAAACCTGTTGGCTATTTAATTTATAATCCGCATATCCCTGGTAAAGGTGGGACAGCCTCTTGTAAGGCTGCCTCAGTGCAGTATACCAAGAGGCTGTTAGACATCGCCTCTTCTCCTCACCTGGAGTGAGTGTTCATTGCAGGCTCTTGCCAGGGCAGAATGTAGCCTCCTCTGATGTGAAGGTTGATGTGGTCAAGAGGAGCCTCCAGAATTTTCCACTCACCTATCGATTTGCTGCTAGTTTCCTAGAAAGGAGAATATAGGCAAACAATGATGAGAGATAAATATATTAAATTAGAGCATGTTTTATTACAAGTCCTTCCTTTCCTGGGAAGCATGTCAGAAAGTCAGCAAAAGACTGCAAACCTAAAGAGAAAATCTCCGATCTTTCATTTTTGCTTAAGACTCTGAAAGTCTAGTCTTGTCTTTGTATCTCCAGAAAAGTTGAGAGGCAAGGGCAGGAGTGAGTGGGGAGCTTCAACGTGATGTAGGTACTCAGATTTTATCTATGCTCTTATAATGCATGCTTTCATTTAAACAAACCTTGCCAAGGCTAAAAATGTCATAAATTATTGCCTTAGGAAATATGTGCTTGGAAATAGGAGGAGGCTCCACCACCTCTCCACCCTGTATAGCCCAACCTGGTTCTTCACAAATATATTAGTTCTTACCATGCTATAGTCATACCAAAGCGCTTTGGGAAAATAAGCAGAGATCTCAAATGTGCTCTGAAACATAAAATTGATATGTGATTATGAATATTTCAATAAAAGTTTTGCATTTTCGTTTTCAAAACACTATGTAGAATTAGATAAAAATGAAAATGTTATTAGTGATTGCAATAATTTGAGAGATTTTATAAAGAAAAATCCTGAAAATTTCGTCCTCAAAACTACAGAAAAAATGTATTTTTAAAAAGTAAATTGTAAAAGGGTACACACAATGACAAAATTTTAAAACGAGAAATCAGTCAGTGTTGTAAAGATTTCATTAACACAGATCTTTAAAAAAAGAAAAAGATCTGTAGATGTTCTAGAAAGACATTCACCTAGAAACAGTGAGCTGGAAAAAAACAAGATAATCTTTAAAATGTTTTTCCCATGATTTTAGATAATGTGATTGAAAAGTTTCTGATCTACAATGAAGAACTCACACGTTCCAACACAGGGCTGATTAAGATGGCAGGGCCCAACATGAACTGACGGTCTATATCCCATGTTGTCTTATCATCCGTAAACCTTAAAAAATAAACAGAAAAAATTCACCTATCCTCTTATGACTGCTACAGAGAATTATTTAGACCTGCTGCGTGGGGAAAGAGGCTGTACTCACTCATGGAGAAGGGGCCGGACAACAGTACTGCCCTCAGTGTGAGCTTTATGCATCAGAGTATAGAGATAAGGAAGCAGAGTGTATCTAGTCTCCAGGACTTTTCTGGACAACATCTCAAAGGTTGAATTCCAGGCCACAGGATCTTGTCTCTGTAGGGATAAAGGACCATGCAATAGATTACCTCATTTTCATTCCATCCCAGTGGTATCAGAAAAGAATCAATGGGAATTTATTCAATATGTAGGTTACAAGCCACTTATCCCTTCATTCCTAGCCTACCCTTTTCCCATGTCTGGCACCCTACAAAATTAGAATTTCTTGCTTTTTCCTCTTTATCACTGATTCCTAAGTCCCTGGAATAGGTCCAGCTCTGGCCCTCAACATGTGTAGAGAGATTTTTGTGCAGCACCAACATATCTTTGATGAATTTGAGTAAAATACAAATTCAATATTCTTAAAAGCAAAGGGAGATTCTTTTTATTTAAGCCCCATGGGGAAGTTTAGAAACGTTTCCTCATGGGTACTAATTCTCCAGGAGATGAGAAAGGGTAAATTTCTAAAAATTAATGATAACTCCACGGGTCTGAACTCTGTGAATTTTTTTAAAAATTAAGATTCTGGTAATTTTTTATGATTTTTCTCAGGGAAGGAGTATAATACTTTTGAGGGTTAAAAATAAGTTATGATTTGAGGGTACACAACACCTGCAGCATTACTGCTGCCTCACCCTTGACCCGATGTTGTTGTGGTTTCTGGAAAATGGATAAAAGGCCCCCAGTTGCATCCAGCGAACACACATCTCATATTCAGCATCTCCAAAGAACCCACAGATATCTGCTCCTGTCTGAGAAGATGCACAATGAGACCATGAGGTGGGAATTTCAGGAGGCACTGACTCACAAAAATCTGACAATGGTCTGAATGTGACTTACATAAGGTATTCCAAAGAGACTGAACTCCATCATGCCTGCAAGGAGAAGACACAGCTGTGTTGGATGGAGGAGGACTTTGGAAGGAGAGGGAAGCCTAGGCCTGGTTTTTCCTTACCCAATGAGAAAGCCCTGGACCATTCATGAGGAAAATATTAAAAGATGGGTCTAAATTAAAATCCATTCCCACAGAGAACTCAGCTCTTGTTAATTTTACCACCCACCTAGATGGTGCTAGAGACATAACCAGTGCTGCTGAACAGCGAGAACTCCAGTGCCCTTCCTGCCAGCACAGGACCCTAGGAATGAGGCCACACACCAATGATAGAGTTCGCCAGTTGGTCCCACGCAGCTCTGTTGTCTCCCAGCCAGTGTCCTCCCCAGCGTCCGGAAGAGGGAAATGTGGAGCGGGTGATGACAACCCCTTGCTGTCCTGTCACCTTCTGCACAGCTCTGGTGGAGGCAGAACAAGGAGGTGAATTGAAGAAACAAACTTCTTTACAAAGAGTAACTGCAGCTTGGAGCATGAGGTGGTAAGGGTGCTTCGGTCCGAGTCAGGTAAAGTCTTCCCAGAAAGAATCTGCTGTCTAAAAGCCATGCTAAAGATTCCAATGAAGTTTACAGCAAGACTAGAGGTATATCTGCACCTAGAATGTGGCTTTCGTTTTTTAAAAATCTAATTAACTATCTCCCTGGACTAAGAGAAAGAGGTTGGAGTGAGAGGTAATATAGCTATTTATGAAACAATTACTCTATCCAAGTATTATATTGGTCACTTTCCTATATACTGTCTTACAACCTCATAAAAAAGTTTCCTTGCACTCCTTTTACTGTTAGAAAACTAAGGTGCAGAGAAGTTAGAAAGGCATTTGCCTGAAAATAGTGAGCTGGATAAAAGAAGATGATCTTTCAATGCTTATCGAAGGTTATTTAAAGAGTCAAGAGGAGGCCAAGCATAGTAACTCACTCATGTAATCCTAGCACCTTGGGAGGCCAAGAGACAGAGGATTGCTTGAGGCCAGAAGTTCAAGACCAGCCTAGGCAACACAGTGAATCCCTGTCTCTACAAAAAAATTAAATTAGCTGGAAAGGGTGTGTCTGTAGTTTTACAGCGGGGAAAAGAAGAAAAAAAAGAATAAGGAGACAGATTGGGATCCAAATAAAAGCGATGACATTTTGGAAATATTCACTCTGCTTCACTATGCCTCAAAAAGTAAGATATGTTGTGCACACAGAGGCAAATATACATAAAAGATGTTTATATTTCAGTAGAAAATAGATTATCTGCATGCATTTTAGAAAATAAAAACAACTGTATGAGGAAAAAAATCAACCAAAAAAAGAGAAAATCTGATAACAGATCCTAATATGTATACAATCAAAGTATTTACTTAAAAAGACATCACAAATCAATAGACATAGGTGAATTAGTCAATAAATGATGTCAGGAAAAGTAGCTGACTACTGTCGTGAAAACAAATCCATGTGGGTCACTTCCAAACTTTCACACCAAAACAAATCCAAAAATGAATGGAAATACACACACATAAATCAAATGTTCTATTAAAACTGAAAAAAATAGGGCCGGGAGCGGTGGCTCAAGCCTGTAATCCCAGCACTTTGGGAGGCCTAGGGCGGGTGGATCACGAGGTCAAGAGATCGAGACCATCCTGGTCAACATGGTGAAACCCCGTCTCTACTAAAAATACAAAAATTAGCTGGGCATGGTGGTGCACGCCTGTAGTCCCAGCTACTCAGGAGGCTGAGGCAGGAGAATTGCTTGAACCCAGGAGACGGAGGTTGCGGTGAGCCGAGATTGCGCCATTGCACTCCAGCCTGGATAACAAGAGTGAAACTCTGTCTTAAAAAAAAAAAAAACAAAAAAAAAAAAAAAAAAAAAACTGAAAAAAATATATAAACCACCTGATTTCTACAAGAGAAAGGAATTTCAAATAAAAACAATAGACAAAACAATGAGGTAATAAAAGATACATATTTAACCATATGCAAATTGGAAAAATGCATATGTGTGATAAAGAAATGGAGGTAGAGATAGCTTAGTTTTTTTATAATAGTCTAGATAAGAGATAATGAAGGCCTGGAACAAGGCAGGAAGATAGAGTAGTAATGCAAAGAACTTAGTCACTGACTGAAAGAAGGAAAACAAGGAGAATCTAGGATGACCTAAATGACTAGTTAGACTTAGTTCCTTTCACAAAATAAAGAATTTTGGAGGGGCCAGGAGTGGTGGCTCATGCCTATAATCCCAGCAATTTGGGAGGCCGAGATAGGCAGATCCCCTGAAGTCAAAAGACCAGCCTGGCCAACATGGCAAAACCCTAGCTCTATAAAAATACAAAAATAGCCAGACATGGTGACACACACCTGTAATCCCGGCTACTAGGGAGGCTGAGGCAAGAGAATTGCTTGAATGTGGGAGGTGGAGGTTGCAGTGAGTCAAGATCATGCCACTGCACTCCAGCCTGGGCAACAGAGTGAAACTCTGTCTCAAAAAAAAAAAAGAAAAGAAAAAGAAAGAATGCAGGAGGACAGGTTTCAGGGAGAAACAAATAGTTCAACATTTTAAGTACTAGGTTTGAAGTGCCTATGGGACATAAATGAGACATCTATGGGCAATTCTAGGTTTGAAGCTCAAGAGAGGTCTGCGTTGGGAACATAGATGTGGGGGGGTCATCTGAATCCAGAATGTATTTAAAGCCAGTAATGTGTGTTTTGCTTATCCAAGGGAAAGGCTGCATGGTGTGAAAGAAAGACAACTGAACCCAGGCCTAGGAGGACCACAGGCTTGGAAAGACTGAGAAAGGGAACCTGCAAAAGAGTTTGCGGAACTGTGGCCAGAGAGGTAAATGCATAAATATCCAGAATCTTGGTTGGAACGCATAGTCAAGACCCTGAGAAATTAGCAAGGCATAGGGAGCATATACAGCAGGGCATATTGTGAACCTCAAGATCAGCAGAGGGTGTATCATGAAGGTCAGTAAGTAAGAGTTAGAGAATAAAACTGACCACTGAGGCCACATACACTGAGCTCTCCCATCAATGTGGGCACTCAGGGCTGACAAAGAAAGGCATTTTACAAGAAGAAATAAAAATGGCTCAGTGCTTAGACAGAAAGAGCAAAGAAGACATGGTCCTCTCCCCTCAACAAAGTGTGTAGAGGGAATAATGTAAAATGTAGAACTACTGTCAAGTTAGTAGTTAAGAGAAGGAGGGAATTGGGAGGGATAGAGTAATCTGAGGTTTCATGAAGGAAATAGATGTGAGTTGGTCTTTAGGTTGTATGTGCTAAGGGATTAGCCTGATCAAGATCAGAATGGCCAGCATGTATGATTGGTAAAGGAGAAAATATCAAGGCATATGGGAAGTAAAAAAAAAAAAAAAAAAAAAAAAAAAGTATCATGTACAGAAAGAGTTTCCTCAAACAGCTTGAATAGGAGAGGAAGTTAAGAGATTAGATGATGATTGGAGGAGGATATAGGCCAAAGCCAGAAAAACTGGGACATTTTCAAATTTTGATGAAAAAGAATGTCCAGACACTGATTGCTATGGTTTGGCTGTATCCCCACCTAAATCTAATCTGGAATTCCCACATATTGTAGGAGGGACCTGGTGGAAGGTAATTGAATCACAGGGGCAGGTCTTTCCTGTGCTGTTCTCATGCTAGTGAGTAGGTCTCATGAGATCTGATACTTATAAGGAGGAGTTTTCCTGCACAAGCTCTTTTTTTTGTCTGCCACCATCTGTTTAAGATGTGACTTGCTGCTCCTTGCCTTCCACCATGATTGTGAAGCCCCACCAGTTACATGGAACCTCTTTCTTTTGTAAATTGAAAAAAAAAATAAATTGCTATTATTTATTGAGTGCTTACAATATGCCAAGCACTTGTGGATTCATTATATCATTTAATTTTATGGTAACAACAGACACTATGATTTTTCCAATTTAAAAAATGAAAAAGTTTAGGTAGAAGATGGTATTAATGAGTTATGAAGCATCCATCTAATTTTACAGCCTAAATCCTAAAGCAATATACCAGCAGAGAGGAAGAAGATAAAAATAATTCATAAAGAAATGAGTACCCATGGAAAAAAAAATCATTTGTGGAGCGAGTTTCTCTGAAGAGAAAGACGGCAATGGATATGTGAAAAGCAAATTTCCCTGAAGAGAGAGGAAGGGATAGTGCATGGGAAAGATGAGCTTTAGACAGAAACTATCAAGTTTTCACATCTTCTTATTGCTGATTTCTTTGCCCTGCAAGCCCTTTCTTTGCCAAAAGAAAATTTCTGTTCTTCTCATAACCAACATTCAATTACCACTTCTTCTATGATGACTTTCTGGATTATCCCAGTAGAGTTAATTGCTTTTCCCTTTCATGTTTGACTCCTTCAATCAGACGATGAGGTCATTGAGAGCAGAGATTGTGAATTATTCATCCTTTTAGTCTTCTGAGGTAAGGTTATTTCTGAGGGTGCAAAACATCTGTTTTCTGTGTATTTCATATATAGACATGGATGTTTTCCTGAAGAACTAGTTTTTCCCTGGTTGGAAAAGCCTCAAGTTAGATGTAGAAAGCAAGACTGTGAAAGAGCAACTGAAAGATGAAGATGTAAAGAAAGTGGCAAAAGGGAAGAAGAATTTCTGTTCAGGAGAACGTGTTGCCCCTGAGTGTGGAACCCCAGGGGCAACATGATCTATCACCTGTGGATAGCCCAAAATCCAATAGTATGAGGTTCTTGTAAGCCCCGGGGACAGAAGGCAGGGAGCTTAGATACTTGAGCAAAGAGGGGCAGCTGAACAGAAAAAATCACACTCTGTCCTGGGAAGAAATAAAGAACCAGTCTGAAATTTCCCCATGACATTAGAAAATGGCAGAATCTCAGAAGGATAAAAGAAAAGACAAAGGGGCAGATAAATATTTATAGAAATAATGGCCAAATACATATACATTAAAAACTACAAATAATTGTTGAAAAAATTAAATTATTGGAAAGATATCTCATGCTAATGAATCAAAAGAGACTTAGTATTGTTAAGGTAATACTCCCCAAACTGAACTACAGACTCTATGTAAAACCTATCAAAATCCCTGTTGCTATTTTGTCAAAACAGACAAAGTGATTATAAAATTCACATCAAATGCAAGGGACCCATAGTAGCCAAAACAATCTTGAAAAAAAACAAAACTGGAAGGTTCACACTTCATCAATTAAGACAGTGTGGTCTTAGGATAGAGATATAGAGATATCAGTGAAATAGAATTGAGAATGCAGAAACAAGCCTTCTCATTTATTGTCAATTGATTTTTGACAAGGTGCCAAGACAATAAAATAAAAGAAAGAATAAAATCGAACCCCTGCCTCACACCATACACTATAAAGCTCTTAGAAGAAGACATAGGAGTAAATATTCATGACCTTGGGTTAGGCAACAGTTTCTTGAATATGACACCAAAAGCATAAGTGACAAATAAATAAGTAAATGAATAAATAGGACTTCCTAAAAACTTTTTAAAATGTGCTTCAAAACATATGATTATGGAAGTGAAAAGTCTATAGAATGAGAGAAAATATCTTCAAACTGTATCTCTCATGAGAAAATTGAATTTAAAATATTTAAAGAATTCTTACAATCCAATAATTTTTTTTTGTAGAGATAGAGTCTTACTTTCTTCCCCAGGCTGAAGTGCAGCCTCAAACTCCTAGGCTCAAGAGATCCTCCTACCTCAGCCTCTCAAGTAGCTGGGACTACAGGCATGCATCATTTTGCCTGGCTTATTTGTTTGTTTGTTTGTTGTAGAGATAGGGTCTCACTATGTTGTCCAAACTGGCCTCAAACTCCTAGACTCAAGCAATTCTCCCACTTACACCTCCCAGAGTACTGGGATTACAGGTGTGAGCCACCATGCCTGGCCACAATTCAATAATTTTTTAAAAAATGATTCTATAAAAATGAGCAAAGAATTTGAATAGATATTTCTGCAAAGAATACATACAAGTGGCCATTAACATATGAAAAGATGCTCAGTAACATTAATATTAATGAAATAAAGTCAAAACAACAATTAGATATTACTTTACCCTCATTAAATGTCTATAATTTTAAAAGATGAACAACACCAAGTGTTGACAAGGATGTAAATGAATTGTAATTCTTACACATTTTACCACATACATGCAGATAAGACTGTAAAATGGTAGGCTTTTTACACGTAGATAAGAATGTAAAATGGCAGGCACAGTGGCTCATGCCTGTAATCCCAGCACTTTGGGAAGTTAAGGTGAGTATATCACCTGGGGTCAGGAGTTTGAGATCAGCCTGGCCAACAGGGCAAAAGTCCATCTCTACTAAAAAATACAAAATACAAAAATCAGCCAGGCATGGTGGCACATGCCTGTAATCCCAGCTACTCGGGAGGCTGAGGCTGGAGAATCACTCGAACCCAGGAGGCAGAAGTTGCAGTGAGCCAATATCACAGCACTGTACCTCAGCCTGGGTGACAAAGGGAGACTCTGTCTCAAAAAAATAAAAAATAAAAAATAAAAGATGTAAAATGGTACAACCTTTTTAGAAAACAGTTTGACATATCTTCAAAATATTAAACATATGGTTTCTATATGACACAAAAGTTCCACTTAGATATATATTCAAAACTAAGAAAACATGCCTACTCCAAATTTCGCACATAAATATTCATAGAATCACTACTTGAAATAGCCGAAAAAAAAAATAGAAACAACTTAGTTGTTCACTCATTGGTAGATAGACACGCAAAATATATCTATACAATGAAATATTATGAATCAGTAAAAAGAAATCAAGTACTGATACATGCTACAAAATAGATGAGCCTTGAAAACATTACGCCAAGTGAAAGAAGCCAGATACAAAAAAGCACATTTTGCATGATTCCATTTATATGAAATGTCCAGAAAAGGCAATAGACAGAAAATAGATGAGTAATGTCTAGGGCTCAAGAGGTAGGAACGAGGTACAAATGATTCCTAGTGGGCAAAGGTTTTCCTTTTGGAGTTCTGAAAATGTTCTAAAATTCAATTTTTGTGATAGTTGCATGACTCTGTGAATATACTTGACACCACCTAACTGCTCACTTCAAATAGGTGAATTTAGTAACATACTAGATAAATGTGCTCATAGGTGTTGTGGATATTTTGAATTAACTCATTTACCTGGCATCACATAGATAGATACACAATGCAAATATCAAATGACAGAAGGAACAATGTGGAAAATTGTCTTTGTTGTAGTGACAAAAAGACACTCACTCATATGTGGGTCTGGTCTGGGACCACCCGTATAGGCTGTGCACGTTGTAGTGCTGCACGGGGGAGCCGTCTGGGAGGATCTGCTGACTCTCCATGCACAGGGTCTTGTTGCTCAGGCCCCTGTCCCTAGATTCCAAATCTGAGGGGAAATGTTGAGTTATTTCCTAAACAACATGATTTGCACATTCACTAGAAATGCCCATCATTTTGGCGTTTATTTCAATCAACAATTTTGTTACCAGTAACAGGCCCAATTTTATGAGTTTTTAGTCTATAATAAACAATGTTCTCTGCCTTTATAACTAATGAAGGGTAAGGATAAAATATGGAGCTGAGAAAAGCAGCTCCCCTTCTTTTTGCTCCAACTCTGATTTAATTTATAGAGTGTTGTCACAGCCCATTTGTCAACATAATAATCTCCTTCATTGTTAGGACTGTTTCTTCCACTAGATGGTAATGTTCTCCAGGGAATAATTTTGTTTCAGTCATTTTTTAAAATTTATGTCTCTAAATCTTTCCCATTTGACAGCATTGGCTTGATACATAATTACAGACGATCCTCAACTTACAATGTGATTACATCCCAATGAATCCATCACAAGCTGAAAATATTGTAACTTGAAAATGCATAGAATGGACCTAACTTACCTTACATGTACTCAGACACTTACATTAGTCTACAGTTAGGCAAAATTATCTAACACACGGTCCATTTTAAAACAAAGTGTTGAATATCAATTGTAACTTACTGAATGCTATACTGAAAGTGAAAAATAGAATGGTTATTGGGTTCTCAAATTTCAATTTCTACTGAATGCATGTCATTTTCTCATCATTGTAAGGTTGAGAATCGTAAGTCAGACCATGGTAAGTCAAATACTCTCTGCATTAAATTAATGAAGGAGAAAATGAACAAATGAGTGAGTGAGTGAACGAGACAGCGTAACAGTGATGTAGACATCAAGAAACTTGGATTTGAGATTCTGTCTCACAGATTACTGGTACAGTGCCTTTTGCTTTGTTTTGTTTTTCTGTTTATTTGTTTTGTTTTGTTGTACGAGTCTTAATATCTTGCCCAGGCTGGTCTCAAGACTCAAACTCCCAGTCTTAAACAATCCTCCCACTTTAGCCATGGTACAGTACTTTTAGGAAGTGAGTCATTTCCTTCCTTGTACCTTTCTAAGATGAGAAGATTCAACCTTCTGGGATCCTTTTGATCCCAACATTCTATTTCTGTTTGTACCACAGGATAACCAAGAAGTATCCTTCATCAGATGTCTGTTTACATGAGTAGAGAGAGTTCAGAAACTAGATTTTAATTCTCTAACCAAAAGAACATCTCTCCACTTGCGTGTGTGCGTGCATGCGTGTGTGTGTAATCAATAGAATCAAATGTACCATGCATTGTTTGATTTCTTTCACACAAAATCATGTCATTATTTCTTGCTTGATTAGTAAGCTGTTTATCTACACTTATTCAAGATTATCTTACTTGGGATTTCATGTCATGTTTGAGAATGCTTTCTGTCTTCAACATTAGGCTTCACTTTGACAGTAAGAGAAAAACTTTCAGAGTCTTTGAGTGACAAAGTAAGTTAATGAAATAATTATTTTACATACATGGCACATAGGGTAGGTTATTTAGTGTTTCATTTCTGCAGCCCCAGACGGATCCATCCACAAAGTTTGATGGCTCATTCATATCCTGAAATGAGTTAACAAAAAGGATCCTGTCATGTCAGGAGCAGAATGGATTGGCTATAGAGGACACTACCTCAGGGAGATGAATTTTGAAGCCCTCTCCTCAGCTGGTGGCTTAGTTCACTGTGTTTAATCCCTGGCATTGACCCAAATGGACTCTAAAAGATTGTAGTTTAATTTCTAGCGTTGACCTAAATGGACTCATCAGCCAAAGCGGAGTGCTAAACTCCTTCTTGCTTACCTAGCATTTTAAAACTTAGGATTGCTTTATAGTGGGAAAAATAGTGAGGTAATGCTGGACTCAGGATCTAAGGAAACCTTTTGATCCATCTCCCCAGCAGAGGTAGCCCATCTTTATTTTTCTCTGTTTGGATTATTCACTTTTTAATCTGTGGCCAGAGGTTACTATTATCTTCCTCTATTTTTTCTCAGTCTAGTCGCTTGGACTAACTCTGATACTGGCACAGCCAAACACAATGAGGGCTTTCTTACTTTCTGCCATAAATATATTTCTAAAAAGTGGTACATAACTCAGAAACAGGTTTGGAAATAAAAATGTGCTTTGGGGAATTTATTACGTAAATGAAAGGAGTTGGGGCTCCTAAGAGAATGTTCATTGCTCATTTCAACAATGGAAAAGTTACATTTTTGAATCCCAGACTATTTTAAATAGGACATATTAAAGGCAAATGAAAGTACTTGAGGAACTATTCATTACTTTGAATTACCCAGCTACAGCTTTCCCTTCTTTGGAAAAAGAAAAAGCAAATACTACCCCAGAGCTATCAGTATCCCTTATTCTCAAGACTGCCCATACCTATTCACTGGCTGATTCGCCTGTTTAAGTTAATTTGTGTCCTTTCACATGTCTATTCTGTGCCTAACTATCTTGAAGGTGCAGGTGGCCAGGGAAGCCCCAGGGCTTTCAGTGGACTTTTGTTTCTAGGATAAATCACAAACTTCTAGCCTGACCCACAGCTGAATAGCCAGCCCTTCAGAGCTAGCCTAGAGCTTGCTTAAGATTTCAGAGCACTGGACAGTGGGAAAGGAAATCAGAACACTGATATGCTTCCCATTCCCAGAAAACCATAGATAGAGTTACCCTTGGACATCTATCTCAGAGATATCTCAGGAAGTCCTGCTTTTAAGGCCAGCTGGCATTTACAACAAACATCTGAACAGGACTTTAAGCCATTCCCTCAGAGGTGCTGTCCCAGTACTATGGCGAATGTCTACTTGCTCTCAGGTCCATACCTCACCCACTCCCAGCTCTGCCCTGTAAGGCTCCCTTACCATCAGCTTCCAGGTAGATTTGGCCAATGAGGGACACTGGCAAGAGATTGCAGATAGGAGGTGATTTCTCCCTCTCTCTTTTGCTCTGGCATCTCCAGCAGTAGCAATCCCCTCTGTGGGCTCTACCTTCCACCAAACAATATGCCTCTGGGCAGATGAGCAATGTTCTCTGCTTCTCTTGGTCCCAGCACTTAGATTTTGTAACAGCATTTCTCCCTTTCATCTCTGCAGTCCTAGGTCTCCGTTTTACTAGTCTCTCCTCCCCATGTTTTGACTTGCTAATATTAAAAAAAAAAAAAAAAAAAAAAAAAGACAAGCAAGGGTGCACTTACAATCCACAATCCATCAAACTTCAAGCTCTTCTCTGGCTCTCGAGGGTTTGTATAGAGCTCTTCTATCTCTTTCTTCCACCATGCAGCTGTGTTATTACGAAAGAAGTCAGGAAAAGCAACGTAGGCCCTGTATAGCTGTAAGAATAAGAAACAGTCTCATGGCGGGGTCTCAGCCTATCCAGGGGACCACAAATGGGAGATGAACAGGAATTTCTGCCTACCCAGATTAGTCTCTGCTCTAATCTCAGATCTGCTGCTGTTACAGAGTTTACAATAGAAGCAGAGATTGGGGAAGGCTGATTTCATTCCTTGTTTTCTTAGAAGGTTAGATAGCTTTAAAATCCCCTTCAAATACAGGATTTGTTTTATAACTGGACATGTAATCACAAGACTGGAAAAGTAGCAGTGTCTAAACAGTTAAACTTTAGAGATGCAAATACTTTTTCTTTTTCCTTCTTTTATTTTTTTATGAGATGAAGGAATATTGTCATCCAGGGACAAGTGAACTCCAGAGTAGAGGGGGTGCTAGATGACCAGGCTGAGATTCATGGCTTTCCTTCATTCAATTGACTTGTATTTTCTTTTGTATGTGGATAATTTATCAAAACCCAGTCTGTTCATAATGGATTCCCCTCTAGTGATAAAATAATCGACTTTGGTTCATTATTTTTCAAGTATTATAAAGTTCAAACAAATCACAGCCCATTAAAAGTACACTTATTAGAGGATTTCATTAATGATTTCCTTCTGCACATTTCCATTTTCGCTGTCTGTTGTGCTTTCAACTTGAGGATCTCTTTCTTCCAAGAAACTAACAATGGATAAACACTCTCAAGTTAGGGCTACTTAACTAAAGGGTAAGCTGCTTATTCATCAAGATAAAAAAAAAAAAAAAAAAAAAAAAAAAAAACATAAATATCCAGATATTTAGGGCAATGTTGACAAAAATCTATATTCTGTACCTTAACCTGAGTTTCATGGTCAAGGGATCCATCTACATTTACATTAGGCAGATCTGGCCAAACCTAGAGAAAAAGATGGAACATTTAAAGCTTTAAAGATCATTGCATACAGATTATGAGGCATTTCATGTGTAGACTCTGATGACATGCATCCATTTGCTTGGGAATCTTTGCCATGAATTAAACTGTAAAGGCTGAATCTACAAAATTACATTAGGTGAAAGTAGGCTGGGTCTCTTGATGCATTCCATATGTTTTCAAAGTTTTATTTTTGAACTTAATAATGAACTGAATTTCTTTTAAACATATCCTCTGAACAACTAACTTTCAAGTGATTTCTCAGATCTCTGATCTCCTTGCCATAGACCTATTACAAAATTCATAGTAAGTGTGAAGTGTGACTCTAAAGAAATAAGATTGATTTCCATTCACACCCCATAAATCTGACCTCAATACTTTTAAGCATTATCATGACTTATAGGGGATACATAGCATTAAAGTATACATAGCATTAAAAAAATCCATAGTGTCAACCAATTTTACCTGTAACTACCAGGACATTAACATTGTGCCTACCCAGATTAGTCTCTGCTCTAATCTCAGTATATACACACTGATTAAAGGATTCAATCAACAGACACTTACTGAGTACTTCCTATATGACAAGCACTATTCTAAGATCTGTATTTACTGAGATTTAAGTAAGAAACAGTACTTGTTTCTCAAGAGTTCACAGTTAGTACATAAATGCTACACTGTATGCTATACTGAAGGCGATACTACAGAAAAGGGAAAACAGGAAGAACTAAAATATTTATTAAATGTCTCAAACGACGTAAGATTTGAATTGATTTTAAAATGAAGATTATTATCTGGGTAAGTTGGGAAGGTAATATTCAAAGGGAGCATAGGGCCGGGCACGGTGGCTCATGCCTGTAATCCCAGAAATTTGGGAGGTCAAGGCAGGCAGATCGCCTGAGGTCAGGAGTTCATGACCAGCCTGGGCAACATGGCGAAACCCCATCTCTACTAAAAATACAAAAATTAGTCAGGCATCGTGGTGCACACCTGTAATCCCAGCTACTCAGGAGGCTGAGGCAGGAGAATTGCTTCAACCTGGGAAGCAGAGGTTGCAGTGAGCTGATATCACACCACTGCACTCCAGCCTGGGTGATAGAGTGAGACTCTGTCTCAAAAAAAAAAAAAAAAAAAAAAAAGAGCATGGAATATACCCAGAGCAGTAGAAAGTAGTACAGTATAATTAAGGAACAGAATTTGAATCTGGGCTAAAAGCTACTATCACCTGAAGTCCACCTAGAATGGTATTGCTATAAATCAGACATAAGAAGGTAAAGATTGAAGCTATAAAGACAAATTAAAGGAAACCAGATAAAGAGGAGAATTTATAGGACTTAATGATTCATTTAGATTTGAAGGCAGATTAAGCATGATAGGTCAAAGACAAATGCGTGTTTTGCATGTAGGTAGCTGGGAAGGACAGATTTCAATCATTCTCAAAGGGATTCTTACTGTTTGTTAAATGACCAGGTGGAATAAATAAAGAGTGGGGACATCAGAATATTTCTAGGCAATAGACAGTGTTCAGTAATAATAGAGAACGAGACCTGTAACCTTGACCTTACTAATGTTTATTGAGCTAATCAGCACCAGACAGATTTCTACTCATTCATAATTTCTTAACTGTCCAATATATTTTCCAACACTGAGCTGTTTTATTTCAAGACATTGTGATGTTAATTAACTGTAAGTACTTTCCCCAAGGCTTACCTTTCCCCAGACAATGTCATTGGTCTCAGGCCATTTGATGAACACATCATTTTCCTGTCCTCTAATGAATGGGAGATATTGGGTCTCATTGCCAGAAATGGCTGGGTCCTACAGTAAAAGAATTTCAAACAGCAAATATGAGGAAAACATCTTAAGAAAATTTCTCTCCAAAAATTTAGTAGTTCATAGTGCAGAAAGAAACAGTGAACCTCAATACCAAACATAAAATGAAATAAAATAAAAATCAGGGATAATTTGCCTTTCATCTTACTCGGTATATTACCATAGCCAATTGAAATGGGATGGTGCCATGAGTACTCAAAGTAAGATATAAAACCCTTTTGAGGGGCAACCTCTTTCAAGGTGTACAAGAATCTGTGTCAATAAATGAATGAGTCTTTCTATATTATAAAAAGTAACTACCCAAAGTTATGACTAATAAAATGAGAGGAAGGGGGACAATATGGCTAGCTAGACGCAGCTGGGAAGTACCTCTCCCACTGAGAAAAATAAAAACATTGAGTAAACCATCACACTTCAAACAGAGCTTTTGAGAGAAAACACTGACAGTCTATAGAGAGGCAATGTAGACACTGAGGTGTAAGAGGGAAAAAGCTGGAAACCCCATACAGAGTTGCTAAGTGCTAGGACGAGCTCCTGTCACTGAACAGGTCCTAAGAAAGAGGTCCCCAGTAGGAGTGAAAGGACACTCTCATTGCAGACCTCTGGAATCCTAGCTACAACAGACCCCACAAAAACACCATAGACACTTGAACTGGCAAGAGGAACTGCCTGGAGAGTAAACAGAGGCAGAGCTCAAGCCTGTGCAGACACCAGAAGGTTTTGCATACAGGGCATCTGCAGCAAAATACGACCATGGGCACCTATCTGTAAAGGCTCTCAATCTTGCTCTGAGCAGGTCTAGCCCCTGCTGACAGCTTAGCTGGGAGACAGCAGGGTTGTCTTTCCCACAGAACCAGGGTGCATCTGATCGGCATGCCACCCTGTCTGCCAGGCCCTCACAAGGCCACTGCTTGGCTGCTCCCAAAAGAGCATGCACACAGCACAGCCTCCACTGCCCCACCTGAGTGCTTTGCTGGTGGCCTGGAGCTACTCTGCCCCCCAGCAGAGCCAGTATTCGACCCTAACGGGCCAGAAAACAAAGCTGCAGGTCCAGTCCAAACCCACCAGGGTTTAAACACACAGATCAGGATTATCTAGCTGAGATCTGTGGCCCAGGCTTGAGCAGGACCATAGATCACAGAATACTGAGAAGAGTGAGGTATGGGTTTGTGTGCTGGTGTGGGAGTCGGGTATGCCTTCCTCTGCAAGACTGGTCTGGGAAGGGTGTAGCCTGTTTACCAGCCACAGCCTCTGCCCAAGGGAGTGCCACAGCCCAGAATATCTAACAGACTAACAATCTGGATGCAAAAGTCTTGAGACAAAACTAGCTTGTCAGGGCAGCTACTGAGGCAGACATTGGAAGGAGACTCAGTTGTGGGAGAGGAAGCTGAGAGGTCCCCAAAGCCATCTGCTATGCAGAAAATACTGGGTCATATCAGTTGCACCCCTATGGCAACACTGCAGTACCTGGGCATCCTCTGCCCTTGACCCACTGCATCAACAGATCACCCCCAGACATACCCCACAACCTACTCTGAGTCTGCCAAGTAGAGGACCAACAGGAAGCTTCAGGTCTCATGGTGACCTGATCTTTGGCTCAGGCTGCCCCTAAGAGGGAAGAGCACAGCCTGTGAGGGACCCCCTTGTGGCTAAGGAAACAGGCGTGACATCAGTGATTAGAGGGGGCTTGCTCAAGTGCCAAAAATGGACTTGGCAAGGAGGCCATCTCTGGATCTCCCATATCCTCCGCCCCATAGCACTGCTGCAAATATGCTGAAATACAAAAGAGGCCTGTAGCTGAGTAAGAGGCTATCTTCTGGCCCTTACTCTTAAGCACCATCTACTATATCGCAGCCTAAATTACACCACCAAACAAAAACTCTTTTAGTACACATTGTCTTTGAAACCCAATGCAGAAATTCAGCCACAGATGAAGATCTCTTAAAGAACCTTGGGCCTCTGAAATTACCCAGAAATGAAGCCAATCAACTATACTCAATATACACCACAGCCAAACCCTCAAGGAAAATGAAGCCTATATGAACAAAAAGCCATACCCAAAAGACAGCAACTTCAAAAAGATAAAGAACATCCACCCTCTCAGATGAGAAAGAATCAGCACAAAAACCCTGAGAATTCAAAAAGTCAGAGTATCTTCTTAACTCCAAACAATCTCACTAGTTCCCCAGCAATGGTTTCTAACCAGATTGAAGTGGCCAAAGTGACAGATACAGAATTCAGAACCTGGATGACAAGAAAGCTCAACAAGTTTCAGGAGAATGTTGAAACTCAATCTGAAGAAGTCAGTAAAATGATCCAAGAGATGAAAGATAACATAGCCATTTTAACAAAGAACTAAACTGAACTTCTGGAATTAAAACAACAAATGATAATACAATTGCAAGTATTAACAATAGAACAGACCAAGCTGAGGAAATAATCTTAGAACTCAAAGACTAGTCCTTCTAAATAACCCAGTCAGAAAAAAAAATTTTTTAATAATTTTTAAAAATGAACAAAACCTCTGGGAAGTATATAATTATGTAAAGAGGCCAAATCTATGACTCATTGGCATTCCTGAGAGAGAAGGGGAAAGAATAAATGATTTGGAAAACATTTTTGAAGATATAGTCCATGAAAATTTCCCCAATCTTGCTAGAGAGGTCAACATATGAATTTAAGAAATTCAGAGAACCCCTATGAAATGCTATGCAAGATGATCATCCCTAAGACACACTAGGAAATTTTCTTAGTGTGTTTTGGGGACAAACTAAGAGAATTTCTTATCCCTAGACCAGCCTTACAAGAGATCCTGAAAGGAGATCTAAACATGGAAACAAAAAAATGGTATCTGCTGCCACAATAATACTCTTAAGTAAATAACCCAGAGGCCCTATGAAGCAACTACACAATTGAGTCTGGAAAACAACCAGCTAACAACATAATAACAGGATCAAAACCTTACATATTAATCAAGGTAAATGCTATAAACGCTGTACTTAAAACACAGAGGGGCAATTTGAATAAAAAAATAAAGACACAACCACATGAACTGTATGATACCTTCAAGAGGCTCATCTCACATGTAACGATACCTGCGCTCAAAGTAAAAGGATAGAGAAAGATTTAGCATTCAAACAGAAAAAAGCAGGGGTCATTATTCTTCTGTCAGATAAAACAGACTTTAAACCACAAAGTCAAAACGGACAAAGAGCATTACATAATGATAAAGCGTTCAAGTCAATAAGGATAGTTAACTATCCCAAATAAATATGCACCCAACATTGGAGTACCCAGATTCATTAACAAATGCCTACAAAAGACAGCCACACAATAATAGTGGAGGACTTCAATACCCAACTGACAGCATTAGACAGATCATCAAGGCAGAAAACTAACAGTGAAATTTGGAACTTAAACCCAACACTGACTAATTGGACATAATGGACATCTAGAGAATACCCCATCCAACAACCACATAATATGGATTCTTCTCATAAGCATGCAGCACATAATCCAAGATTGACCACATGCTTGGCCATAAGGCAAGTCTCAGTAAATTCAAAAATATCAAAATTATACCAAGGATACTCTCAAACCACAGTGCAATAAAAATGGAAATCAATATCAACTCTCTCAAAACCACAAAACTACATTAAGCAACTTACCCCTGAATGTAAATTAAGCAACTTACCCCTGAATGACTTTTGGTTAAATAACAAAATTAATTATTAAAAACTTCCTTGAAATTAGTAAAAACAGAGACATGACATAAATAACAAAATTGGTTAAATAACAAAATTATTATCAAAAACTTCTTTGAAATTAATAAAAACAGAGACATAACAGAATCTATGAGATGACCAAAAGCAGTGTTAGGAAGAAAGTTTATAGCCATAAATGGCTACATCGAGAAGTTAGAAAGATCTCAAATTAACATCCAACTTCACAACTAGAAGAACTATAAAAACAAGAACAAACTTGCCCCAAAGCTAGCAGAGGAAAATAAATAATTAAAATCAGAGCAGAGCTGAACAAAATTGAGGTTCAAAAATCTATACAACATATCAACAAAAGCAAAGTTGCTTTTTTGAAAGGTTAAACAAGATTGATAGGTCACCAGCTAGATTAAGAAAAAAAGAAAGAAGATACAAGTAAGTGTTGTGTAATCGTAAATGACAAAGATGACGTTACAACCAATCCCACAGAAATACAGAGTATCGTTAGAGATTTTTATGAACATCTCTAAGTACACAAACTAGAAAATCTAGAGGAAATGAATAAACTCCTAGAAACACACAACCTCCCAAGATTTAACCAGAAAGGAACTGAAACCATAAACAGACCAATAATAAATTCTATAATTGTATTAGCAATAAAAAGCCCATCAACCAAAAAGGGTCCCTAATCAAATGGATTCATGGTAAAATCCTACCAGATGTACAAAAAGCTTATACCAATCCTACTGAAATTATTCCAAAAAACTTGGGAAGGATATTGCCTCCCTAACTGATTCTACAAAGCCAGCATCATCCCAATACCAATATCTGGCAGAGACAATGAAAAAAGGAAACTTCAAGCTGATGTCCCTGATGAACATAGGTGCAAAAATCCTCAACAAAAGACTAACAAACCAAACTCAGGAGCATATCAGAAAGTTTACTGACCATGTTCAAGTAGGCTTTAACCTCTGGGATGCCAGGTTGGGTCAACAAAGTCAAATCAATAAATGTGATTCACCATATAAACATAATTAAAAACAAAAGCCATACAAAAATCTCAATCCAGAAAGAGTTTTTGATAAAATCCAATATCCCTGCATGATAAAAACCCTCAAGAAATTAGGATTGAAAGGGAAGTACATCAAAATAATAAGAGCTATCTCTGACAAACCCACAGCCAACATCATACTGAATGGGAAAAAGAAGCATTCTTCTTCTTTTTTTTTTTTTTAAATTGTACTTTAGGTTCTGGGGCACATGTGCAGATCATGCAGGATTGTGGCATAGGTACATACATGGCAAGGTGGTTTGCTGCCTCCATTCCCCCATCACCCATATCTGGCATTTCTCCCCATGTTATTCCTCCCCACCCCTCACTGTCCCTCCCCTAACGACTCCCAACAGACCTCAGTGTGTGATGCTCCCCTCCCTGCTCTCATTTTTCAACACCCATCTATGAGTGACAACATGCAGTGTTTGATTTTCTGTTCTTGTGTCAGTTTTCTGAGAGTAGTGGTTTCTGGATTCATCCATGTCCCTACAAAGGACACGAAGTCATCTTTTTTATGGCTGTATAGTATTCCATGGCATATATGTGCCACATTTTCTTTATCCAGTCTATCATTGATGGGCGTTTGGGTTGGTTCCGGGTCTTTGCTATTGTAAACAGTGCCACAATGAACATAGGTGTGCATGTGTCTTTATAATAGAATGATTTATAATCCTTTGGGTATTATTCTTCTTGAGAACTGGAACACAACAAGGATATCCTGTCTCATCACTCCTATTTAATATAGTACTGAAAGTCCTAGCCGGAGCAATCAGGCAAGAGAAAAAAATAAAACACATCCACATAGGAAAAGAAGAACCAAACTGTCTCTCTTCATAGATGACATGATTCCATACCTAGAAAACCCTGAATACTTTGCCAACAGGCTCCTAGAACTGATAAACAACTTCATTAGAAGTTTCAGGATACAAAATGAATGTACCAAAATTAGTAGCATTTCTACACATCAATAATGTTCAAACTGAGAGATCTCAAATTAGAAATCTCAAGTTAGATCTCAAATTATCAATCCAATTTCACACCTAGAAGAACCATAACAAAAAGAATGTTTTTATAGTTCATCAGGAATGCAATCCCATTTATAACAACAGAAAGGATAAAATACCTAGGAAAACATCTAACCAAGGAGATGAAAGATCTTTACAAGAAGTACAAAACACTGTTGAAGGAAATCAGAGATGACAGAGCAAACGAAAAAACATTTCATGCTCATGGACTGGAAGAATTAATATCATTAAAATGGCCACACTTCCTGATGCAATTCATAGGTTCAACAGTATTTCTATTAAACTCCAATATCATTTTTCACATAATCAGAAAAACTATTCTAAAATTCATATGGAACCCAAAAAGAGCCTGAATAGCCAAATAAATTCTAAGCAAGAAGAACAAAGCCAGAGGTTTCGCATGACCCAACTTCAAAATATATTATCACACACCTACAATTATTATCTGATCTTCAGAAAAATTGACAAAAATGAGCAAGAGGAAAAGAATTCTTTATCAAGAAATGGTGCTGAGATAACTGGCTAACCATATAGAAAAGAATGGTACTGAACTCCTACCTTTCACTATATAGGAAAATTAACTCAAGATGGATTAAAGACTTAAATATAAGACCACAAACTATAAAAATCCTAGAAGACAATCTAGGGAATGCTATTCTTGACACTGGCCTTAGCAAATAATTTATGGCTAAGTTCTCAAAAGCAATTGCAATGAAAACAAAAATTGACAATGGATCTAATTAAAATAAAGAGCTTTTCTACAGCAAGAGAAACTGTCAACAGAGTAATGAGGCAACCTACCAAATGGGAAGAAATATTAGCAAGTTATGAACCTGGCAAAAGGCCTAAAATCCAGAATATGTAAGGAACTTAAAGAAATCAACAAGCCAGGCCGGGCGCGGTGGCTCAAGCCTGTAATCCCAGCACTTTGGGAGGCCAAGGCAGGTGGATCACGAGGTCAAGAGATCGAGACCATCCTGGTCAACATGGTGAAACCCGTCTCCACTAAAAATACAAAAAATTGTGTAGTGCTCCCCTCCCTGTGTCCATGTGTTCTCATTGTTCAACACCCGCCTATGAGCAAGAATATATGGTGTTTGATTTTCTGCTCTTGTGTCAGTTTGCTGAGAATGATGGTTTCCAGGTTCATCGTGGGGAGGTGGGAAGGGATAGCATGGGGAGAAATGACAGATACAGGTGAGGGGACGGAAGGCAGCAAAGCACACTGCCATGTGTGTACCTATGCAACAATCTTGCATGTTCATCACATGTACCCCAAAACCTAAAATGCAATAAAAAAAAAAATTAGCTGGGCATGGTGGCGTGTGCCTGTAGTCCCAGCTACTCAGGAGGCTGAGGCAGAAGAACTGACTGAACCCGGGAGGCAGAGGCTGCGGTGAGCCGAGATCGCGCCACTGCACTCCAGCCTGGGTAACAAGAGCGAAACTCCGTCTCAAAAAAAAAAAAAAAAAAAAAAAAGAAGGAAATCAACAAGCCAAAAACAATTTCATTAAAAAGTGAGCGAAGGGCATGAACAGACACTTCTAAAAAGAAGACATACAAGTGGCTAACAAACCTATATAAAAAAAAAAAAACACTGAATAGAAGTAAATCAAACCACAGTGAGATACCATCTCACATCAATCAGAATGGCTTTTGTTGAAAAGTAAAAAAATAGATGTTGGTGGGGCTGTGGAGAAAAGAGAACACTTATACACTTTTGGTGGGAATGTAAATTAGTTTAGCCACAGTGGGAAGCAATTTGGAGATTTTCTCAAAGAACTAAGAATTGATCTACCATACCACCTAGCAACCTCATTACTGGGTATATACCCTAAGGAAAATAAATCATTCCCTCAAAAAGACACACATACTTGTATGTTTATCACAGCACTAGTCACAGCAGCAGAGACATAAAGTCAACCCAGGAGCCCACCTATGGTGGACTGGATAAAGAAAATGTGGTACGTATATATCATGGAATACTACGCAGCCATGAAAAGAATGAAATTATGTTCTTTGCAGCAACATGGATGTAGCTGGAGGCCATTATCCTAAGATAATTAATGCAGGAACAGAAATGCAAATGCCACATGTTCTCTCTTATAAGTGAGAGCTAAGTACTGGGTACACATAGACATAAAGGTAGGAATAATAGACAGTGGAGACTACAAGAGAGGAGAGGGAGCAAGAGGGGCAAGGGTTGAAAAACTACCTGTTTGGTACTATGTTCACTACTTGGGTGCTAGGTCCATTATACCCTGATATGGTTTGACTTTGTCCCCACCCAAATCTCATCTTGAATTGCCATGTGTTGTGGGAGGGACCTGGTAGGAGGTAAATCATGGGGGCAGGTCTTTCCCTGCTGTTCTCATGATAGCGAATAAGTCTCATGAGATCTGATGATATTAAAAAAGGGAGTTTTCCTGCACAAATGCTCTTCTGCCACCATGAAAGACATGCCTTTCATCTTCCACCTTGATTGTGAGGCTTCTCCAGCCATGTGGAACTGTGAGTCCATTAAACCTCTTTCTTCTATAAATTGCCCAGTCTCAGGTATGTCTTTATCAGCAACATGAAAGCAGACTAATACAGACACCAAACTTCAGCATTACACAATACACATTTGTAACAAACCTACATATGTACACACTGAATCTAAAATAAAAGTTAAAAATATAAAGTTTAACCCTGAATTATTTAAGTAAATAAATAAGATGCTAAAAATTCTGTAGGAATTTAAATATGACATAATATACATGATTTTTTTCCAGTGACATAGAAATCTATTTTTACAAAGAGAGTTGAGGAGTAAAATAATGTATTGGTGTTTCTTCATAAAATTCGTGAGAAAAACTTTTGCTAATGTTTGAAAACAACTCCTGGAGATAAACCAGGTTAATAAGACTTAATCCTCGAGCAGAGAGAGCCAATTCATTGTGTTTCCAGAGTATAATAGCAATATTCCTCAAAAACATGAATTGTTTTTATTGCCTTGTGTCCCAATGTGTCTAACTAAAGTAGCTTCCCTTGCTCACACCTTCCCATACCTGCCCCAATTACTCTCTATAATATTATGCTGTTTCACAATTGTCATATAAATCACTACTGTCTGAAATTATCTCTTCAGATGTTTATTGGCTATCTCCCTCCACTAGAATAAAAACCTTATAAGAGCACTGTCTTACTAATTTAGACTATGCATATACCGTCTCACACACACATACACAACTTGTAGAAGAGTGATTTTCAAATATTGTGTTCAATAAATACATGAATTAGCAAGTGAACAAAAGTCACCGAATAATGCTGTAATTTTTGGAAGCTAGCAGGGAAAATCATTTGCAGGTAATTATCTCTGCATTTATCAAGATGTGGCTTTCTAGTAAAATAATAAATTGGTATTCTGGATCTTAACTCAATTGTTTGTAAGTTTAAGAAGAAATGTCACCTGAGCTTTAATATTTCCTAGTGATGCTACAACATAAGATTTTTGAACCCCCTGAGGTAAAGATGAGACTAAGACACAGCTCTTTCTCCTGAGGCATAGCCTGAAATAGAAATAGTGAGACACCTTTTTTTTTCCTTTTTTTTCTATCTTCAGTTCTTCAGCCCACAGTTGTCCTAACTCTACCAAGAGAAAATAATTATATTCCAGTGACAGTTATTGAAAATAAATAGTATAAAGTATCATCTTTTAAAAGCCCATTTTCATTTTTCTTTATTTGCTTTTAATTTAAAAATAATAATTATAGATTCACCACAAGAAGTTGTAGAACAAACAAGAAAGTACAGAGTATAAGAACATTTCTTGTACCCTTCATTCAGTTTCTCACAATGGCATTATTTTGGAACCATGAATATGGAAACAGAAAGTAGAATCTAATCTGTCTCAATACCTACCAAAATGAGAATAAATCTCATGCCATTTTTCTTCATTTGCTCAATCACGAGACTGAGGTTTTGAAAGCTGGCACTGAGGGTAAAATCCAGCTTCCGGTCCATGTAATCGATGTCTACATGCTGGACGTCCTGTAGGAAGAAATAGCAAGGTGCTTGGAACCCTGTAGCAGATGCCTTGCAGGGCACACTGACTGCTCTTTCAGGCCCCTAGTCTTGATGAGATGAGAATGAGTAGGGACCTGGGTTCTATGCCTGCCCCAGCCCAGGCACCCACTCATTCCTCATCTCATTACTCCCCTTTGCTGACTTTTCAATTCTGCAGATTGAAATTGCTTTCTGATGCCTGCATGCAGTTCCCCTGTGCCCACCCCTTCTCTGTTTCCCCAGTTGGACCTCTATCCCTTTTCCTTTCCTCAATTCATGTCTTTCTCACTTTTCAAATCTCAAACTTAGTCTATTAAACAAAGTTCAAGGGTAGAAACTGGGACTTTCTTAGGAAACAAACAGGATTGCATACATGGGTTTTTTTCTACAGTAAATCTGGCTGATTGTTAAAAGCTCTCAATAAACTAAGTACTAAAGGAACATATCTCACAATAATAAGAGCCATGGATGACAAACTCACAGCCAATATCATACTGACTGAGCAAAAGCCGAAAGCATTCCCCTTGAAAACCAGCACAAGACAAAGATGTCCTCTCACCACTCTTATTCAACATAGAATTGGAAGTTCTGGCCAGGGCAATCAGGTAAGAGAAAGAAATAAAAAGGCCAGGCATGGTGGCTCACACTGTAATCCCAGCACTTTGGGAGGCCGAGGCAGGTGGGCCACCTGAGGTCGGGAGTTTGAGACCAGCCTGGCCAACATGGCAAAACCCTATCTCTACTAAAAATATGAAAAAATTAGCCGAGTGTGGTGGTATGAACCTGTGGTCCCAGCTACTCATGAGGCTGAAGCAGGAGAATGACTTGAACCCAAGAGGCAGAGTGTGCACTGAGCCGAGATCACACCATGACCCCCCGGCCTGGGCAGCAGGGGGAGAAAAAGAAAGAAAGAAAGAAAGAAAGAAAGAAAGAAAGAAAGAAAGAAAGAAAGAAAGAAAGAAAGAAAGAAAGAAAGAAAGAAAGAAAGAGAGAGAGAGAGAGAGAGAAAGACAGACAGACAGACAGACAGACAGACAGACAGAAAGAAGGAAGGAAGGAAGGAAGAAAGGAAGGAAGGAAGGAAGGAAGGGAGAAAGGAAGGAAATAAGGAAGGGAAGGAGGGAAGGAAGGAAGGAAGGAAGGAAGGAAAGAAGGAAGAAAGGAAGGGAAAGAAAAAGAGAAAGCAAGGAAGAAAAGGAAAGAAGTGAAGGAGGAAAGGGAAGGACAGGAAGGAAGGGAAGGAAGGGAGGAAGGCAGAAAGGAAGGAAGGAAGGGAGGAAAGAAGGAAGAAACAAAGGGCATTCAGAGGAAGTCAAACTATTCATATTTGCAGGTGACATGATCCTATATCTAGAGAGTAGATCTTGTCACCTAGACAAGATCCTATGTCTAGAAAACTCCATCATCTCAGCCCAAAAGTTAGTTAAGCTGATAAGCAACTTCAGCGAAGTCTCTGTATATAAAATCAATGTACAAAACTCTCTAGCATTTCTATACACCACCAACAGTCAAGCCTAGAGCCAAACCACAAATGAACTCCCATTCATAATTGCCACAGATAAAAATCCTAGGAATACAGCTAACCAGGGAGGTGAAAGATCTCAGCAAAGAGAACTTCAAACCACTGTTCAGAGAAATCAGAGATGACATAAACAAATGGAAACACATGCTCAGAGATAGGAAGAATCAGTATCCTTAAAATGACTATACTGCCCAAAGCAATTTATAAATTCCATACTATTCCCATTAAGCTACCATTGACATTCTTCACAGAACTAGAGAAAACTATTTTAAAATTCATATGGAACCAAAAAAGAGCCCGAATAACCAAGGCAATGCTAAGCAAAAAGAAAAAAGCTGGAGGCATCAGGCCTACCCCACTTCAAACTATACTACAGGGCTATAGTAATCAAAACAGCATGGTACTGGTACAAGAACAGACATATAGACCAATGTGAAAGAATAGAGAACACAGAAACAAGACAGTACATCTACAACTATCTGATCTTTGACAAACCTGACAAAAACAAGCAATGGGGAAAGGACTCTCTATTCAATAAATAGTGCTGTGATAACTGGCTAGCCATATTCAGAATGGAAACTGGACCCCTTCCTTACACCAACATATAAGAACTACATTATTTTATAGTTTTCCTGAATGTCTACCTCTCTCTACCCAGTACCAACCCACGTTTTTGCATATGAAACTTACTCAAACCGTGATTGTTGAATAATAACTAAAATAGTTAATATTTAGTTGAAAAAAGGAAGTTGCTTCTCTTTAGCCCAAAAGTGATAGTTCCCTCCATTGTCTTAAGACTCTAGGTGAAACTTGTTTGGAAAAACAGAGACTTGTGCATAAGCCAAACTTTGGAAATGAATAAACCAGCATATTATTAATATTGATTACTTTGTTAAGGTATGTCTATGGATTTTTTTCATCTTGTAATTTTCCTATTTTCTAATTTCTGCTTAGTAAGTATATAGTATCATTGCATATACAAAGAAAAAGAATTCAGCCTGGATTATCAAGTTATCTTTGATAAGAACATCATAGCACTTCTAATATAAAATTAGCCAGAAATTCCTGTAACTAATTAAACTTCAGGCTGGGTGAGGGTTTCATACATAGGGAATCTGGGCTGCCACCATTGCATCATATAAACTGGAGATTTCAGCATCATTCTGGTATCCATAGCGACTCAGCTGGAATCCCAAGGCCCAGTATGGAATCATTGCTGGTCGACCGATCAACTAGAATAAAAAGAAAAATGCATCCAGATAGACTTCCTAGGAAAGAAAAGGCGGTTGACTTATACTTGAATCAAGTTGAGTGTTTCTGCTAAGTTTACTGTCTAAGAGGCCTCACCCAAGAAAGGTAAGAAAGTCCAATAAATGTGGAGCAATTACGGACATGCAGAATGATAGAAACATTATTTGGAGTTTTCATATATTCCAGAGTTTTCATTCTAGGAAATCTGATAATTTGCTGGTTATTGCTGATTAGCAATTCTTAGATAGACTGTTCAACAATCGCGAGACATGTGAGATATTAATATGCCTTTATAGACCCATAATACTAAAATATGATTTTCAGAAAAGGCAGTAATAATCTAGCAGTGACACTGAAGAGTCGAAAGAAAAAATTGGCCTATCTCAGTGGTAATAATGTGGTAATAGTCAAAAAATATTTGACAATAATATATTGACGGACAGAATGGCTTCTAACCTCTGTGTATTGCTGAGTTACAAGTTCAGGGGTTGGCCCCAAAACAATGTAAAAGTCCAAAATCCCTCCTGTGGTGCGGTATGTCAAGGCAGGAGTGGGCTGTAATGTCACATCTGTAAGAAAAACAATATACATGAGGCACATCCTTGGAGTTGTAAATCACCCAGATAGGAAACCTGCTCTAAAATTTGCTTTCTTCACACTCTCTCTCTGATGCCTGCCTCCTCTAGAAAGTCTTCTCTTATCCATTGGAATCAGAGGTGTATTTGCAGGTACCCCAAATGTAATATGCAACCTCAACAACTTTTAAATATGCTGTGAATGAAAGCCAAAGTGTCACAGTAAAATAGGCTATGCCAGAGTAGGAACCACAATTGGTCAAAATTCCACACCCAACACCCGATCCAGAGTTCTTAATAAATCTTGAATAAATAGATGAGTAAATGGAAAGTCAATTTATTTGTTCCATTTCCCTTGCCTCCTGAAGGTCTCCATTTCTACTTATAATCCAGGTCGAAATAGAATGGTCACAGCTGTTTCTGGTGGCACATGGGAGCTGTTCCTATGTCTTACCCATAGCATTGCTATTGAGCAGGAGCACTCCATGGGCACTGCCATCCTCCTCCAGTGCCATGTAGTAAGGGTGGACCCCATAGGAATTCTTGTTGTACTGGGAGTCATGAGAGTAATAAATAAAAAGAAAATTCAAGATATTGTTTTCATACTATAACCCAAACAGCAAACTCTTACTCATCATTAAAGATTCAGTTCAATGTCATGATCCTTTCTCGGGCCTTCCTTGACCCTCCCTTCTACCCTAAGTAAAAAGCTGTTTCTTCTCCACTTTGTGCCTTCCTCGTTTATTGTTACATAATTCAATTATTTATTATTATATAATTAAGTGGTTCCACTGTGCTATTTCTGCCTCTATTTCTCTCACTAGCCTATAAGCCTCTGGAGAGCAAAGACAGTACCTTATTAAGTCTGTAGCTGGCCGGGCATGGTGGCTGATGCCTGTAATCTCAGCACTTTGGGAGGCTGAGGCGGGCAAATCACCTGAGATCAGGAGTTTGAGGGCAGCCTGGCCAATATGGTGAAACCTCGTCTCTACAAAAAATGTAAATATTAACCAGACAGGTCAGCACGCACCTGTAATCCCAGCTACTCAGAAGGCTGAGGCACAAGAATCGCTTGAACCCAGGAGGCAAAGGTTGCAGTGAGCCAAGATCATGCCACTGCACTCCAGCCTGGGAGACAGAGCAAAACTTGGTCTTCTAAAAAAAAAAAGAAAAGAAAAGAAAGAAAAGAAAAGAAAATCTGTAGCTAAGCACTTAGCAATGTGTCTGACACATAGAATATATTAAGTAAAAGTTTGTGAAATAAATAAAATCCATAATTGATAGAGGGAAATGTGTGTGTGTGTGCATGTGTGTGTGTGTGTGCGTGCGTGTGTGTGTGTGTGTGTGTGTGTGTGCCTTTTAGGGACAAAAGAATGTGACATGTGGCCTATTACAACTGACAGCAGAATTTATCAGTATAAGATGAAGTTGATGAGCAAGGTGTCATATAGAAGCATACGGATTAAAATAGGTTTACATTGAGAGAAACTGAGTGCTAAACTTATTCCATTAGCCCTACCGCAGGTGGCTCATCACGAGCAAACATCCCCCAGGTGTTCCAGTTCATGTCTCTTCTGAAAGCTGTGTGCTCAGTTTCCCCAAAGCCATAGATGTACTGAGAGGGCAGACGTGTAGAAATGGAGAGAAACGTATTATTGAAGGTGAAGCCGGGGAGTTGAGAATCCCAACTGCAACACAAAAACAGATCACACTGAGTTGGAGACCACTGGCCAGAGCTCCTTGGAATGTGTTTGAAATGTCCAATTGATTCCAAAGCCTCCTGAATTATTGCACATTTAGATACAGGTTCAAATACTGTGACATGGCCCAGGTCATAACAATGGCCCCAACTCAGTACCAAAGTTCCATGTTCACATGTCTGTTCTGTGGTTTGTCAGACTGAGAGCTCCTTCCGGGACCTTGAGGGCAAAAGCCATGACTTCTATTTATTTCAAGTTTTCAGTGCCTGGCATATCAGCTTGAATAAATATATAAATAAACAAATAGGGTCTAAGCAAATTTTCCAATGGGAAATTGTGAAACTCTTAGAACAAGTTCTCTGAATTGGCCAAAGGCCATCTTACCAAAGAGAACAACAGCAAGGAAATCACTTGCATAGCCAAAGAGAGAAGACATACATGAGAATGCAAAGGTGCACATGCAGGTAACAGCTTCTACCGGGATGGGGAACCTCACCCCAAGCAAAACCCAGACCTTCACTTCATTCTACTCAGCAGCAGGACAAGAGATGGGAGATGACAATTCCTTTATGCTTAACATTGTCAAAAGTCTTTAAGGCTTTTGTGTCCACAGAATCAAATATTACAAGAAGCTATTTCTTTCTCCTTTTTAACTTTGCTCCTCTCTCCTGCCTCTTATTATTTCTTAATGAGACATAGTATGGAACTCATTTGTATCTTAGGTTATCTGCTGTACTTATTAAATTGAGTTTTCTGTTCTACTTAAGAACAATAAGTAGAACAGGTATTTTTCTTTCTCTGAAATCAAACAATACTTCATTTCTTTAAAGATGGATTAGGTATTTTTGTTAATGACTAACCAAAAACAAATTACTCATTAAAGCACGGAAATTAGATACACTCTTAACAAATGCACACATATTTACATAGAGTCTCTGAGATTAATATTTCACTTGAATTAATTGTAACCACTATACTTAAATCTATAACTACTCTAATTAGAACCAGTAAGTAGTGCTTACATCACAGTGCTGGAGGTTTTGCGTTGAATCTGGATTCCAAAAGGATTGTTCTGAATCCTGACATCATACAGACGGTTTTCAGGGTCATCATCTGGTTGGGGAGGGGTGTTCAGTGGCACTGGGACCTCATATCTTTTATTAGTGGGGTCATAGATCTGGCAAGAAGAGAGAAGAAAGCTTTCTGGTAGGATCTCAGACCTAAAATCCATCAAGCTAGCCCATATAATTCAGAATCCATGTTTTTTGGCCAGTTTGCACCTTATCAGTAGACACTGAACATCCCCAAGCAAATAGATGTGAGGCCTGCCTGTCTACTGTGTCCCATACAGATGCTGAAGTTCAAAAATGCCTCAGTAAAATCCATTCAAAACTGGGGCAGGGGGAGCTCTTCCTCTAAAGAACTTGTGATAGAAGGATATAGAATGTCATAAATAGAATGTGTGTGTACCTGTTTGTAAGTGTGACATGTAGACATGTATGTGCATCGTGCAAAACTGTGTCTACGTGCATGTTAGGAATTAAAGAATTGGGTTTTCCTATGGACTCTGAGAACTCCTTACTGTTTGAGCTTCCAGATGCTACACAGCTTTCCTATTCCTAATATTTATCTTCTGTATCCACCCCTTGTGCCTACCTACCTAATGGGGCTGATGTGTGGGAAGAATAAAAGGAGTGAAAAGTGTTATTCAAGTACAAGGAGTATCACCATCATGAGTAACCATCCTCTTCCTCATGTTATAGCCCCAAATTTATGCTTAGGTAAAGGGTTTTCTTTTTTTTTTTTTTCTTTTCCTTTTTTTTTTTTTTTTTTTTTTTGAGACAGAGTCTCATTCTGTTGCCAGGCTGGAGTACAGTGACGGGATCTCAGCTCACTGCAGTCTCCACCTCCCAGGTTCAAGCAATTCCCCTGCCTCCGCCTCCTGAGCAGCTAGAACTACAGGCATGCACCACAACGCCCAGCTATTTTTTGTATTTTAGTAGAGACAGGGTTTCATCATGTTGGCCAGGATGGTCTCACTCTCCTGACCTCGTGATCCGCCCACCTCGGCCTCCCAAAGTGCTGGGATTACAGGTGTGAACCACAGTGCCCAGCCACATGAGTTTTCTAAAGTCCTGCTTGTCAAAATTATGTTTCTTACACCCAAAGCAGCAGCATTGCCTGGGAGCTTGTTAGGAATGCAGAACCTCAGTCCCTACCACCCCAGATTTTCTGAATTAGAACTCTCATTTTCACAAGCTGCTCTGGTGATTCACGATACCTTAAAATGTGGAAAGCAATGGCTAAAGCTGAGCTGTCCAAGGTGCTGTCCACAAGCCACACGTGGCCTTTGAGTGCCTGACATGTGCTAGTCTGAATTGAGATTCACTGTAAATGCAAATTTTGAAAACTTAGTATAATTAGAAGATTGCTTCAAGATGAGATTTGGGTGGGAAAAAAAATTTTTTTAACTAGAAAATTGCAAAGCATCTCCATTAAATTTTGATTTCAAGGTGAAATGATAATATTTTAGGACATTGATTAAATAAAATATTATTAAAATTAATTTCACTCTTAAAATATACATTTAAAAATGCATCTACTGGAAAATATTCATGGCTCACATTGTATTTCTAGTAAATGTTCTTTTTAAATGTTCATAGCAGTGGGTCTCAAAGTGTGGCCTCTTGACCTGCAGCATCAGCCTCACCTGAGAGCTTGTTAGAAATGCAAATTCTCAAGGCTGGACACAGCGGCTCAGGCTTGTAACCCTAGTATTTTGGGAGGCTGAGGCGGGTGGGTCACCTGAGGTCAGGAGTTCAAAACAAGCCTGGTCAACATGGTGAAACCCCATCTCTACTAAAAATACAAAAAAGTAGTCAGGTATGATGGTGGGCACCTATAATCCCAGCTACTTGAGAGGCTGAGGCAGGAGAATAGCTTGAACCAGGGAGGCGGAGGTTGCAGTGAGCCGAGATCACATCACTATACTCTGGCTTGGGCAACACGAGCAAAATTCCGTCTCAAAAAAAAAAAAAAAAAGCAAGAAAGAAGGAAGGAAGGAGGGAGGGAGGGAGGGAGGGAAGGAGGAAGGGAGGAAGGAGGAAGGGAGGAAGGAAGGAAGGAAAGAAGGAAGGAAGGAAGGAAGGAAGGAAGGAAGGAAGGAAGGAAGGAAGGAAGGCAGGCAGGCAGGCAGGCAGGCAGGCAGGCGAATTATCAGGCTAGGCCCCAGCCCAGGCCTACTGAATCGGAAACCCCAGGGGTGAGGACCAGAAATCTGGGTTTTAAAATGATCTGAAGGTGATTCTGATGCATACTAAAGTTTGAGAACTATTGCTAGAGAAATAACTATAATATTGGAATTAAGTTAATGCCTCTCATATGAGTTTGCCACAAAGCAGACACATTTTTCTCAGAGCTAAAGGATGATTCTTTGATGATGTTTATGACCAAGAATACTCATCATTACAGGGAATTCACAGTCCTCGTAGATCTAAGGTCACATCCTGGCTCTACCGTCTACTTTCTGATTTTTCTCTCTCTACAGGCCTTAGCTCCCTCATCTGTAAAATGAGGGATTTGGATGAAAAGCTGTTTCAGCTGGGCATAGTGGCTCATGCCTGTAATGCCAGCACTTTGGGAGGCCAAGGCAGGTGGATAGCTTGAGGTCAGACATTTGAGACCAGCCTGGGAAATACGGTGAAACTCCATCTCTACAAAAAACACAAAAGTTAACCAGATGTGATGGTGCACACCTATAGTTTCAGCTACTTGGGATGCTGAGGCAGGAAGCTAGCTTGAGCCAGGAGGCAGAGGTTAAAGTGAGCTGAGATTGTGCCCCTGTACTCCAACCCGGATGACAATGGGAGACCCTGTCTCAAAAAGAAAAAAAAAAATGTTTTAATTGTTTCAGTGACTTCTATCCATACAGAACTGTGAGTTAAAAACTCCATACTGAGAACCAGAATCTGCGCTATGGTCCTTACCTTGACCTGCAGCATGTTTGCTGTGTGACAGATCACACTCAGGCGGAGGAAGCTGATCTTTGCAGAGAGAGAATCAGAGGCGGTGACAGCAGCTGCTGCTGCTGCAGTGGGAGGTGGCACATCCCTTGATAGCAGTGGTGGTATTGGTGCTGTCTGTCCAGACTCCTCTGCTTGTGCTAACTCAGAAGCCATCAGGAAGGAAAGGTTTGCAGTGATGCCAGTGGACTGGTACTGAATGTCACTGGCAACATAATTAGGGATGGTGTCATAGTAACAGGTGGGCACGCCAGGAGTAGATGTGTGCTGGAACAACGGAAGAAAGTCTTGCTCAGCCTCTGATACAACACCGTACTGAAGAAGTTGGTTAACACAAACTAAGTCTCTGACACCATGTCCATGGTTATTGGTTGAATTGTGTCCCCCAAAAAGATGTTAAGTCCTAACCCCTGATACCTCTAAATGTGACTATTTGGAAATAGGGTTCTGCAATGAACAAGTTAAAATCAGGTCTTTGGGATAGGCCCTGATCCAATATTACTGGTATCCTTATGAATAAGGAAAATTTGGACACAGAGACAGACATGTACACATGTGACCATGAATACAGAGAGTGGGGTGATGCATCTACAAGCTAAGAAATACCAAACATTGTCAGAAAGCCACCAGCAGTTAAGGGAGGACCATGGACCAAATGCTCCCTCAAAGTCCTCGAAAGAGACCAACTCCACTGACACCATGGTCTCACTTCTAGACTCCAGAACTTTGAGGGAATAAGTTCCTGTTGTTCTATGCCACTCAGTTTGTGGTACTCTGTCATGGTAGCCCTAGCAAATGAACACATCCATTTTTAAAACACACATATTAGCCTTCTATAATGAGTGAACAGTGACAGAGCTGCAGGAATTTTGATCTGGAGACAGGAGCCTCCAGGCACGATTCTATTCCCAGGGTCCTTATTGTCTCCTGTGTAATCTAGAGGAAATCACTTGTTCTTTCTAGTTTTTATTTTCTCTATTGTTTAAATAGAGAGGAACAGCCTGACCTTACCCTTCCTGCTTGTGTTCTCCAATAGACAAAAAAAATATGCAATGCATAATGCTTACTCAACATACATTATTATATTTAAAATTGAGTTTTTAATGATACGGTTAGAGTGGCAATGAGAATGGCAGTAAGTTCCTTCTGATTCAGGATATCTGAGGAAAAGAGTGATGACCTATCATGTAGAGTTGGCAAAAGACATGTTGCACAATATCCTTGTTTTCTTCAAGCCGCAGACATTTGCAAAGTGTTTTCTAGGTGCCTAATTACTTGTGGGGCAGTTTTTACAACTTCCTGATCAATGTGGTAATCTATTTCTGGTCATTTACCTCCCAAAGACACCCCTGCTGCCTACAACTCTCCTCAGAGGCTGTTGGATCATCAGGGTAGCACTTGAACTTCTCCAGGTCATCAACAGGAAGATTCCACTTAATAGAGAATTCTTGTCCCAGTACCAGTCCTTGGAGATCAGTGATGGTTACCACCTGGGAAAAGAGACCTTCACGGTGACAAAGGAAGGGAGGGAAGGTCATCTGGATAGAGTTCTTGCCTGGAGGTCTGGAAGTTAGAACAAGGGGATCTATTCTTTCCTCCAAAACCAGTTTGCCATGAGATATTTGGAACTTGGCTGATTCCTGGGCTTTCTCTGTTCAAGGAGTCACTGTGGAAATGTTGGATGGGAAGAGTCTTCACCATGTTAACGAGTACGGATCACAGGCAGGACTATCATTGTTAGATTCACTGTCCACTGGGTGTGATACTTATCAATTTAATAACAATGGTAATAACAACAATAGCTAAACATTATGGAGCATTTATACAAGCCAAGCCCTGTGATCACCACTTTATAAGCAGGATCTCCATTAATCCCAAGAGTAGTTCCATGCTGTGAATGTTATGACTATCTCCATTTTACAGAACAGAAAACTGAGATACAGAGAGATTTAATACCCTAAGAGCTGGGATTGGGGCCCCATTCTGTCTAACTCTAGAAATCAACTCTTATCCTATACTCTATGTATTGTCAACATGGAAAGGGGCTGACCTAAGAAATAATGAATTTCCCAGAACTTGAACTATTCAACTAACAACGTAAGAGGATCATTGAGCAAGAGAAAAACTGGATTACCCCTTGTATTACTCCACTCACATTTCATTAATGGTATGAAAATAGCCTAAAACAGTAACAACAAGTATTAACTGTTTCTCAAAGAGAGTCTACCTTCAATGAGAGGACAAATGTGTAAATACCCATTGCACAATCTATTCACTGTGTCACAGCTGGGATCAGAGTGTCTCATTTTAATTTTGCCCAGAGAAGAACTTCCTTCTCTCAGGGTTCCGACTCCCACTATCTTCTTCAGAGCCCTGATACAGACAAAACAGAGATGTCTTTCTTTAGCATGCACATATTCCTCCTATATCCTCCCTGTGATGTGTTGGACCTCCCAGCAAGTCAGTTGTGTCAGATGGCCCAAAGTTCAAAGAGCAAAGTAGGACCAGCTGTCAGAACCAGGGCCTTTGGAAAGGGCCCTGCAGAATGGAAACGTCTCTTACCTTTGTGGAAGAATTATAGACAACGCTTGGACTGGAGATGGTGACATTATTCAACAAGACAGTAAAATTAGCTGGCTGTTTGTCCATTCCCAAGATTGTGATATCTGTAAACATTAGGTTGTAAGTGTCCGTATAATTATTAAAAAGAATCTTTGCTTGTAGATGGTTCTGGAAGGGGAAAAAAAGTCAGATTAGAACCACGGACTTTAGATTCTTATTATCCCCAAATAGAACTCAATGTCTCATTTTTTGAGATTCAAGCAGTTTCCTTTTCTCTGCAGTTCCAAATGTTGCTAGATGAACGTACCTAGGGAACTCATTCACTTAGACTCTTAGCAACCTTAAATTTTTAAGTAATATTTTGTGTTTGCTATGGTTCACTGGTTCTTTACTGATTCTATTACTCAGGAAATATGTCCCTAACACTGGAATTTTCAACCAGGCAAGATAGGTACTTACAAAGTAAACAAAATGATAAGAGACTCATTGGCACACAAAGATAAAGACATACATAAATACACAAAAAGGGCCCAAGTAACTTTTTCTTTTTACTTTACTAACAGTGATGATAAGAGCTAAGAATATTTGAGTGTGTTTTATGTGCCAGGCCCCGTGCTAAGCATTTTACATGTATGACTTCATTCAATTTTCATGGCAGACTATGAGGTTGAAGCTATAATTACCCTCATTTTTCAGATGAGGAGACTGAAGCACAGAAAATTAAATAACTTATTTAAGGAACAAAAGTGACAAAGTTGAACTCTGACAAAAAAAAGGAGGTAGAAATTAAGACTGAATAAAAAGTGGCGGTTTGATGATTTAAAAAATTAGAAGTCCCATACGTATATGCCCAAATGATTTTTTTCAAAGACAGATTTTCCAACAAAGGTGCTGGGGCAACTGGCAAAAAGTTAAACCCCAAACTAAATCTTACATAGTATATAAAAATTAACTCAAAGTAGATTAGAGACTTAAATGTAAAAGATCAGACTATAATTCTTTTAACATGGGAGGTAATATTCAGAATCTAGAACTTGGCGAAGAGATCTTAAACTTGACATCAAAAAGCAAAATTTGTAATTAAATAAGGATAAATTAGATTCATAAAAATTAAAAATGTAAATATATAGATGGTAAATAGACATACTAAAAGATGTTCAACCTCATTAGCTATTAGAGAAATACAAATTAAAAACATACTGAGCTATAACTACCCCAATCAGAAAAGCTTAAAATGGCCGGGCACGGTGGCTCAAGCCTGTAATCCCAGCACTTTGGGAGGCCGAGGCGGGTGGATCACGAGGTCAAGAGATCGAGAGCATCCTGGTCAACATGGGGAAACCCCGTCTCTACTAAAAATACAAAAAATTAGCTGGGCATGTTGGCGCGTGCCTGTAATCCCAGCTACTCAGGAGGCTGAGGCAGGAGAATTGCTTGAACCCAGGAGGTGGAGGTTGCGGTGAGCCGAGATCGCGCCATTGCACTCCAGCCTAGGTAACAAGAGCGAAACTCCTTCTCAAAAAAGAAAAGAAAAGAAAAGAAAAGAAAAGCTTAAAAAAGATAGTGACAACGTCAGATGCTGGCTGATCTAGTAAAGAAACTAGATCACTCATATGTTGCTGGTGGAAATGTAAAATGGTACAGCCATTCTAGAAAACAGTTTGGAAGATTATTATAAAATGAAACATGCACTACCATAAGACCCAGAAACTGCACTCTTAGGCACTTATCACAGAGAAATAAAAACTTACAATCACACCAAAATCCATACATGAGTGTTAGTAACAGTTTTAATTTATTTGTAACAGCTCATGACTGGAACCAACCCAGATACTCTTTATCCAGTGAGGGATTTTTAAAAGGTGATATAGCCATAGTTGGAACATTATTCAGCAATAAAAAGGAGCAAGCTGCACAACTTGGGTGGGTTTTCAGAGAGCTCTGCTGAATGAAAAAGCCAATCCCAAAGGTTGCAAGCTGTTTAGTTCTCTTTACAGAACACTCTTGAAAGAACAAAATTATAGAAATGACAAACAGATGATTCGTTGCCAGGGGCTGAGAAGGGATGAGGGAGGAAGCAAGTGGACATGCTATTAAAGGGCAGCAGGAGAGATCTTTGCGCTAATGAAATGTTCTATAACCTGACAGCATCAATGCCAGCATTCTTATAAACCTACAGCACAATATGAAACTGAGGTTTATAAGATGTTACCATAGGAGAAACTGGGCAAAGAGGTACATGGGAACTCTGTACCAGTTCTTACAACTCCATGGGGATCTTTATCTCAAAATAAAAAGGTTACTTTAAGACACACACACACACACACACACAATGTATTGATATAATACTTGAAGATATATATATCATATATAATGCATATATATCTTCTATTTGAAGATATATATCATATATATATCTTGAAGATATATATCTTCAAGTAGATCCATTATATATATATATTACATATACATATAGTGCATATATATATACACACATATAGTCTCTCTCATATATATATATATATATATATATTTAAAGGAAAGGAGAAATAAGAAAGACTATCTCAAAAGAAAGTTCTGCCCATACATGATCAGACTTCAAAGAAAACCAAGTCAGAATTCCCTCATTCTCTGCTAGCATTACTGCTTTTTCTTTTCTCAGTCCCCTTGGGAAATAGATATGAGGCAAATGACGTTCTGTATCTTCCAGCCTTTAAAAGCCACTGCTTGATACCTGTGCCAAAGGCCAAGTTTTATGTGCTACAAAGGATAGCTGTTATGGAAGAATCTTAAAAAGGCTCTACACCACTCACTAACCCACCCACACCCCATATACGCTTGCAAACCTCAAAAAAAAAAAACACACACACACACACACACACACACACACATCTTGGAAGCTAGCACCCATGACATAAAACTCAAAGGCAATGGGTCTTTTTTCCAGGAAAAAAAGTTCTGCACAGAAGTCATACCAGTTTTGTAGCAGCTTATAAACCTGACACACATTAAACATTTTCACATTAATTCAAATCCTTTTGGAATCATGACAGTAAAACACTATCCCTGTTAAACATAACCACATGTCTATATTAAACCAAAAACTCAAGGAGCCATCACAGCAAGAAACATATGCTGTACGTTCCTCAAAAAAAGTACTTACAGAGGTAACAGAGAAATCGTATAGAATATACTGCTTTCCAGTTACAGAATCTAAAAAAGAAAGACAGGGGAGTACCCATTACTATGCAAAACCGAGCAGCTGGGGAGTCAGGCTCTTCATTTCATCCGGAATTCCTTTACCAACCATCTAGTTCTGCTCATCTGAGTTTTGTGCATTTTTTTTAAACTTCTGCAAATGTTTCCTGTATCATTTTCTCTAAATTCACATGTCAGTCTGTGGTACCATTTTGCTGGCATGTAAAACATTTTGATTTGCATTATGATTATGTACACGTACATTGTATCTATCCTGCTGGATCATGAGTTCCTCAAGCTCAACAGAATACATACTAATTCCATGTAGGGCAGGCATTTTATATAATCACGTAAGTTCATGTGAGGTGTTTATATGGAAATCTTACAGTGAAAAGATACACTATACAAATTAGATATTTCTTCCTCAAACAAAAGCAGTATTTTCCAAAGCTATTAACAAAGTGGATTATGTGTTATTAATAATAATATACAAGGAAGAGAATAATTAAGCTCATTCAATAATGTCAGTTGCTTTGGTAGAGTCAATAACACATAATTTGTGCATCTGAAGTCTATTTTAATGGATTGTGCCTGACTAACAGAATTTTCAGAATGGATTTTAACCCATCGATTCTAAGCTATGGATGTAAATGACAGTGCTAATAGGCTTAGTGTCATACCAGGCAGCCTGTGAGGAGTAATTTTCAGGGAGAACCACAGTGACCCATAGTGATGGTGCCTTGAGAAAGTCTACCTTTAGATACCCCATTATCCCAGTACAGCTCCCCATTGGCTTCTCTCTTATAGTCCAAGGCAATGATGAGTCCGAGGGAATTCCTCCTGCTGTAAAAGAGTAATTCCTTGTTTCAGAGAATGTAGATGACACGGAACTATGTGAAACCAGCCCCCATCATACCCCAGGGACAGATAATCCAAGAGTCTATACCAGAAACTGAGTAGATGTTGATATTGGGAGGACACACCTGATCAACAAAAGACAGATCAGGTAGACAGAGGCAGTTCCTACTGAAAAGTGTTTGGGTTGCAATATATAATACCAAAAATTAGCCTTATTCGATGCTTACCATGTGCCAGGCACTCTTCTAAGTGTCTCACACACATTATCATTTATATTAATTCATTTAACTCTCCTCATAACTCTAAAACGTCAATCATCATCTCCAGTTTACCAATAATAATCAGAAGCACAGAGAAGTAAGTTGCTCAAGGTAAACATATGTAGTATGTAGTCCATACCAAGGCTTGAATCCAGATTCTGCAGAATCTTAGCTCTTGACCTCCAAACTATGTTGACTTCCACATGATAACCTTTATCTCCTATTTAACTCAAATTCTCTCTCGTGGTAGGGAATATACCTAAGGACAATTTCTGGCCATAGGAAAATCCTCCTCAGTGATTATTTTGACTGGTCCTATAATCTGATTCAATCCCAAAGTGAAAAAGGACTATGCAGATGTCCTCGGTAGACTACCATCTACTAAATCAGGACTAAGATGCTAATTTTGGATCAATTTGAAAGGAGTGGGGGAAGATTACTGATGGGTGACTTAGCCCTTGGCTCATCCATTCTTTGTCCCTATTTGTCTTTCTCATAATGCCCTGCTCCATTAGAGCACTAGAAGAATCATACCTTAGAAAAGCGAGGAGCTTACCTGGCTTCTGTGGTTGTGTTTGGCTTCTGGGTGGGAAATATGTAGCCCCCTCGAAGATGAAGTCCTATCTTATCACCTGGGAGGAGCATATTCACAAACTGTTTCCTCCATGGGATGGCCACTCGCTAATCAGCAACGACAATAAAAGATAGATCAGGTAATAAGCTGTTTCAGCTAAGAAGGACCTTAGATACCCTCCCGTTCAGTTGACATATTTTAAAGAAGTGACAGAGACCCCCAAAGTGAAGTGGCTTGCTGAAAGCATATGGGTAGCAGAGAGCAGAGAAGACACTCCAACCCCTTCTATTTCTTTATATTACATCATGCTGTTATTCCACACGTGGGCTTCAGTTTTAGGTTATCTCAGCCAAGTGGCAAAACCTAGTCCTGATAGGAACACAACAGCCAGGTTGATATAATGGATTTCCATAAACCTATTCCAGTTATTCAGATTATTTCATTGTACACTTGGAAAGGTCTTCTGCTATGGTCTGAATGCTGGTGTACCTCCAAAATTTATATGTGGAAACTTAATACCCAGAGTGATAGTATTAAGGGATGAGGCCTTTTATGTGGTGATTAAGTCATGAGGGAAGAGCAAGGAGGTGCCATCAATGAAAGAGAATGAGCCTTCTCCAGACACAGAATCTGTCAGCACCTTGATCTTGGACTTGCCAGCCTCCAGAACTATGAGCAATAAATGCATGTTGTTTATAAATTACCCAGTGTGAGGTGTTCCGTTGTACCGTCCTGAATCAGCTAAGATGCACTTCTCACAGAAAAGAACCACAATCAACTAACTATAAATCTTGTACTACTATTCTACGGCAAGCTTCCAAGACTGCTGCTTTAGAATTGTCCTCTGCTAGAGGCAGGTTTCTGAGCCAACTGGGGCTGCCTTACTTACCGTCTCATAGTCATACCAGGTGGCATCAGGTATATATGCTTTCACTTCGTCCATACCCTAGGTAAACAACAACAATGAGTAGCATTAGCATACCCCTCTCTAAAGTTTACAAAACACCTCCAGGCATCATTGCATGTGTTTATCTGAACAATCCTGAGAGATGGTCTGAGATCATCCCATTCTACAAAGGAAAACACAGAAACACAAAGGTTGAGCAATTTACCCAAATAAAAATGATTTGTTTTCCTTCAATGCTGTTGTACTTTCTAAGAGAAGCAGAGAAAGTCAATTCACTGGGTCACATAATTTGACAGTTGAGAGATAAATCACCAGGCCCCAGGAAAGCCTCCCAGCAGGGCCACTGGTTAATTAGCAAGACCTGTCATCAGATGATGTGGCTAAAACACCAGCTCAAAGGGCCTTTGATGTGGATACATTGGAAATATTTCATGTTTACAAGCAGATCAGCATAATCCTTCCTGATCCTTGCCCCGTACTTTGCCACTCACCCCTGCTTCCAATCACACTTAAGAGGATACACATGGTCCTTCATACTTGGCCTTCAGAGTATAGCCTTCCCTTTGCCCAGCACTCCTTTCTCCCTCCCTTCACTTCTCCATAGGTATTCTCTCTTCCCAGCCCAGCCTAACCCAATCCAAGAGCACTCCTACTTTGGACAAAGGGAAATATAGACAGATGTTCAGCACACACCCGCTAAAGTATTTAAAGCCACTGTCGGTCCTACAGCCATATGCCTAAGGATGCAGGCTTCAATTTTAAGGCAATTTTACAACATGAAAATTGTTTTGTTTGGTGCGAAAGTGGGACCAAGATTTACTTTTCTTTTTTTAATTTCCAAACTTCCATGATCTCTCTCATTTATATGCATATTTTGATATAAATGCAGATTCATAGACACTCAGGAACCAGCTTATAGAGCTACAGAACCGTGAGGACAAGTACAATACCCCCATCTCATCATTTAGATTATGAACATACCTCATATAAAACAGGTGTGATGAGGAGTCCAGGTCCCCATAAGAACTGCTCATGCAACTCCCATGTGGCTGAGTCCTGGTAGAACCTAGTAAAGAGTAACACAGTGAAGTCAGGTAAAGTCTCTAATACAGGACAACAGCACGTTATGTAACAACAAGATACTAACTAACCTTGCTACCACAAACAAAGTCAAGTGACACTACAATCGGAAAGGGTGTCTTTGAAAATCAGGAAACTCACTCATGTACAAGGGGCCTCGCTACCGTGTCTCCCCGGGTGTGTGCACGGTAGAAAAGGGTGTAGAGATAGGGCAGTAAGGTGTAGCGGATGTTCAGATAATGTCTGGAGGAATTCAGCAGCAGGGAGTCAGCACCAAAGGCAGCAGGATCCTGGTCCTAGGAGGAAACGGAAGCAATGGCTGAATATTCCTTTCCATCCTGGTTTAGAAGTTCTCTTACAATAAGAACCTTTCCCATTTGAAAGTAACCACTTTCTCCAACTTATGAAACACCAAAGCATTTCTAAAACTGAAAAGATATTGGTCCTACTCGTTCATTTAATACATGAGAATACCAAGAATTATATGAGTTTCCCAACGTAGAATTGCAAGCAGGTGGCAGAGTTTAAATTTGGTTTCTGTCTTCTGAGGGCAGCTTGTAGCAGCCCCAGAGGGAAATGGAAGTCCCACATGGGTTGCCACAAATATAAAGTGGGAACTGCTTCCTCCAGGGCTGCTCCAATTTATTTATCTTCCTATTTATTTTATTTATTTATTTATTTATTTATTTTTGAGGCAAAGTTTCGCTCCTGTTGTCCAGGCTGGAGTGCAATGGTGCAATCTTGGCTCACTGCAGCCTCTACCCTCCAGGTTCAAGCAATTCTCCTGCCTCAGCCTCCCGAGTAGCTAGGATTACAGGCATGCACCACCACAGCTGGCTAATTTTGTATTTTTAGTAGAGGTGGTGTTTCTCCATGTTGGTCAGGCTGGTCTTAAACTCCCAACCTCAGGTGATCCACTCACCTTGACCTCCCAAAGTACTGGGATTACAGGCATGAGCCATCGTGCTCAGCCCAATTATTACTATTATTATTATTTTATTTTATTAATGCCTACATCAGGCATTTCTCTCGGTGTTATCCCTCCCGATCCTCCCTGCCCCCTGCCCCACTGTCCCTCCCCTCTTCCCCTCCACCCCTCCTACGTAGCCCAGTGAGTGTTGTTCTCTTCCCTATTGAAGTTTCTCATAATATTTTATTTGGAAAATAATACAAGTTGTACAACTACTAAAAAAAAAAATAAATCCATTGCCTTATAAGCCACATTACCTGCCACCATGGTCTGTAATCCATTATTTTCTTTCCATATGCTTATATGAATGTTAATTTTAAATTTTTATGTCCAGCTTTATCTGTAACATTTCTACCATCAGCATTAGTGACCTCTATTTGTTCTTTCACATACATTGTGCAAATAAATTATAAAGATGGTTTTTAGCAGATTTTATTCAAGAGTAAAAAAAATAACCCTTTAGAAGAGAAATCTAATTTTCCTAGGATCCAGAAATGGAAATTTTCCATCAATGGTCAGCATTTATTTTGTTCATTTTCCATGTAATTTGGAAGATGTGAAAGACATACACGTCATCTTTTAACGTGTCATCCTATACTGAGTTTTGGATAAAGTCACCTAAACTTTTTTTTCTTTTATTCCCTAAGAGACCCATTTCTCACCTTCTAAACAAAATGATCCCATGAGACCACTCTATGCTCCCAGTGTAAGGCTCATAAAAACTCTGAAGCCAGACATTAAAGAGAATAACACTGCACAGCCTCCATCACCCTGGTTATCAACTGAGAAAGTCCAGAGCTGTGCTGTCTGCTATGGTGGCCACGAACCACAGGAAGCTGTTAAATGCTTGAACTGTGTTTACTGAGACTGAGGGAGTAAACTTTCCATTTTATTTGATGATAGTTAATTTAAATATAAATCTTAAAACTGAATCAGTGTAAATGTTTTCCATGAAACCAACTTTATTGCTTTGGTAGAATTGCATTTTACTTCAACTGCTTACAGAAAATCTTAACATTGAAATTTGCTACAAGTGTAAAATGCATACCAAATAGTGAAGACTTGGTAGAACGAAAAGGACTTAATATAGCTCATTAATAATATCTTGTGTTAAACACAGGTTGAAATGATAATGCTATGTAATATACACACACATATATATACATTGAGCTATATAAAGTATTTTTAAAATAATGTCCCTGTGGCCAGGCATGGTGGCTCACACTTGTAGTCCCAGCACTCTGGGAGGCCGAGGTGGGTGGATCACAAGGTCAGGAGTTCGAAACCAGCCTGGCCAACACAGTGAAACCCCACCTCTACTTAAAATACAAAAATTAATGGGGCATGGTGGCGAGTGCATGTAATCCCAGCTACTTCAGGAGGAGAATCGCTTAACCCAGGAGGCAGAGGTTGCAGTGAGCCAAGATTGTGCCACTGCACTCCAGCCTGGGTGACAGAGCTAGACTCCATCAAAAAATAAATAAATAAACAAACAAACAAATAAATAAATAAATAAAAAGTTTCTTTTTGGCTCTCCTTATAATTTTATTGAATAGAACTAGTTTAGTCAAAAGAAAACATGTGCTTAAACCTAGCTTCCTGGGTAATCTGAGTGCTCTTCTCTATGTAAGTCTTCCAGGACACAGCTTCATGAAGAGCACCCACCCAACTGCTCCCAACTACCTGCTTAGACATTTAGAAATAGTTCATCTCTCTCTAGATCACAAGTGGCCAGAAAAGCCCAGGGATAAAATACTTGGAAGGTTTGACTGTTAATCATTCCTGAGTTAAAGACAAAGTCAAGAGCTTGAGCTAAAATGATCATTAGGAAGTTATTCTAATGAACTTATTAGGAGCTAAACCACTCAATTGGAAATATTTCAACATAAGATTATTTTATTAAAATAAAGGACATCTCACCCTACTTGCTTCTGCCATCATCATAAATACCTCCTAATGGGGGACTTTGAACCCACTTCCATATGCCCATCAAAAATACTATTTTGCTGGGTCAAATGTGATTTCTATTTTTAGGTCCTTGGATACAGGCAAGGGGACGGAAGGCAGAAAACCACACTGCCATGTGTGTACCTATGCAACAATCTTGCATGTTCTTCACATGTACCCCAAAACCTAAAATGCAATTAAATATATATATATATATTTAAAAAATACTATTTTGCCCCATCAAAAATACTGTTTCGGGTGGATGAAGATAAAGTTGGGATGAGTCATGAGAAATAGTTGGGAAGTCTTCCAAACTATTCATAGAAAGGTAAAATGACATAAAAGGTGAAAGCAATTGTGAGATTACTGGCCTAAGCCTCTTTAAATTCTTTCTCTTTCCTCCTCCCTACCTATGATGGATTTCCCTTGTATTAATTGAAATAGAATACCAACTAATTCCAATTGTCCTATCATATATAAAGTAGTAACAGAAGTGATGGCAGCAACATAGAAATTTTAATAAATCTCACTTTGTTGATGAGTTTCCAAGAATAAAATCATTCAGCATATACGTATCCCCTTCAATGCACGCTCAACTTGATTGATAGCCTTCTTTTTACGGCTATCACACAAGACTTTTTTATCCTTATTCTGCAGTTAGGGCAAACCTGTAGTAATATTTTCCTCAAATCCTCTTTAAGAGCAAGTAGATTAGCTAATCCAAAAAGTTTCCATCACTCCTCTTGGTGGCCTTACCCTGAACCCAGGTCCATTGTGATTCCTTGATAGTGGATAAAACGCTCCAAGCTGCATCCACCTTCTGCAGAGCTCCTCTGTGACACTGTTGTAATAACCACAGATGTTGGCACCTACCTGGAGAATGAACACACATACCAGCACACTGGTCAAGGAGAGGTGAAAGCATGTACTGAGTACTTATATGATAAGGAAAAGGAGAACCTCTCAGTCACATCATTCCATGCTTAAGGAGATCCCAGAGTCACGGGGCATGCTCCCAGCCAAATGAGAGGAACAAGATAGAACGCATCATGGACTCATTGAAAACAAACAATGGTCTTTGTGTTGAGGCTGTTCCTTAATATTCAGTTCCCAGTTTCATACTTTCTTATTTACTAATGTTCTCTTGATGGAATTTTCCTGTCATACTAATGCATTTTATTCATAGTGTCTCCTTCCTATCTTCAGAGATTCCACAGATGACAACTCAATGATAAAGTACTACCATTCTATCTTTAGAAGCCACCTCACGTAACACATAAAAATTGATTTTTCCAATACATACCACCTTGGAACATGCTTCTTGGTTTTTCAGATAATCTCTAAGACTGCTAATTAAAAGAATGTCAAAAGACAAAGGGTTAAAATTCCCTGGTTGGAAATAAGGCTCACCATGGGGATGCCAAACAGGTTGAACTCAAGGATACTGGGTATAGACCATCGGAGGTCATCCCATGTGGCTGCATTGTCCCCCAGCCAGTGAGCAGCAAATTTGCCAGATCCAGCAAAAGTAGAACGGGATAAGATGAAGCTCCTTTTATCCATGAAGATTTTTTTCAGGGCTCTGGAAAGGAATACAGCCAGTGGAGTGTGAGGGGGGCTGTCAATGTTTAGGACTCAGCTTACAACAAAGGCAGCAATGGACCTTCCAACTAAACTGAGAAAATCACATCAGGGTGTCAAAAAACAGGTGTATAAGCAGGTTTAGCACTGTTTAAAAGCTTTTTTCCCACTCTTAGGTAAGGATTCAGATCTCATATAAGACAGTACAAGCCTCTATATTCTAGGCCCCATAGCAATTTCTCTGTGCTTCTGTCTCCGATTTTGTTTTCTCTATCTGGTTGGATCTGGCTGTGGTCTGGTCTTTTTGGTCGACAGTATATTGGAACCATGATTTGGGTTCTTTGCCCCATCTTCTTTCTAATGTCCCTTGGCTCCATGAATTTATGCCATGCATAATCCTGTACAGCACAGCACCTGCTCAGGTGGGAGCACTGCGCCCTCTGCTGGACTACGAGGAGAGTTCACGCACCAGCTGGTACACCTGAAGCTTCAGAACTTATCTCTATGTTCCTCTGAAACCTCAGACTTATTCTTAGCAATTCTCAATGTTACCAAATTTTAATCTATGCAAAATAAAAGTCATTGAAATGAGTAAGTCTCAAAATATGGTATCTGATATTTTCTGTAGAGTTAAAACAGCTAACATAGAAAATATTATTTTCATTTTATTATATATAAAATATTAGATATTAAGTAGAACAATACAGAAATGAAAGAAGGCTGGATGCAGTGGCTCACACCTGTAATTCCAGCACTTTGGGAGGCCAAGGCGGATGGAACACAGGTCAGGAGATTGAGCCCATCCTGGCCAACATGGTGAAACCTGTCTCTACTAAAAATACAAAAATTAGCCGGGTGTGGTGGCATGCACCTGTAATCCCAGCTACTCAGGAGGCTGAGGCAGGAGAATCACTTGAACCCGGAGGAAGAGGTTGCAGTGAGCCTAGATCGCACCACTGCACTCCAGCCTGGGTGATGGAGTGAGACTCCATCTCAAAAAAAAAAAAAAAAAAAAAAGAAAGAAAGAAAGAAAGAAAGAAAAGAAATGAAAGCAAAGAAGTTAAAAGCACAGTATCAGAATGCTAATTATTTCAGGAGAGGGGATGAACATACAGTGGGATGACCCATGGTTAGATGCAGGCTGTTTGCCTAGCTTTTATTCTGGACACCTTTCAAATAGGTATTTTACTAAAATGATTCTTCCTCTTTTGTTTTTCTATGGTATAAAGCCCACATCTTCCATTAGAGTTCTAAAATTGAACAGTAATACAATTAGAGGATAGTAAGACCTGAGCCACAATTGCTGCTAGCTCTTCCCAGGCAAGCTCTTCTTCTTTTTTTTTTTTTTTTTCTAATACATGGTCTGAGATAAGTGTAGCTTTCCTAAAACCTCTCTCTGCAAATTTTTATCACTAGGCAATAGGCAATTCCTCAAGATGCTATCACAGTCACCAAAGCCTCCACACTTCATTTTCCTAGGGATGTTTGGAGAATCTATAAATACTTAATGGCTTATGGCAAAAGGGAGAATGTTCTGAAATGAAAAATTGCTTTAAGAAAGTGAAGTGCTTCATTCTGACAATTTACTGTCAAAAATAGAGGTAGGTTGGAGGAGAGAGGACTCACTCAACTCCTATCCCCACTCCTACTTTAATAGAAACTAGCAGACACTTGGCTTTTATTACCACTGGCTGCAGGTTTATTGTACTCTGCAATCATCAGTCATGAAAGAAACACATTCAGCTTACACAGAGTGAAACTGAAACAGGGTTGAAGATATCTGTGGTTACAGTTTATTTAGAGGCAAGCTGTTACTACGGTAAAACAGATTAGATAACTGTTGGGTTTTTATTTTTTTTTGGTTGATTTTTTTACAGCTTAAAGGAACAGTGTTATTCAGAGGCATTCTCTTTTCTAACTTTTAGTTTTCTTCTTCTATTCCCCAGGTCTAGCCAATTTATAACCAGGTTGTGATCACTGAAAGAATCTAGTCTCAGCCAGGCAAGACGGCTCACGCCTGTAATCCCAACACTTTGGGAGGCCTAAGCAGGCAGATCACTTGAGGTCAGGAGTTCGAGACTAGCCAGACCAACATGGAGAAACCCCATCTCTACTAAAAATACAAAAAATTATCTGGGTATGGTGGCGCATGCCTAGAATTCCAGCTACTCAAGAGGCTGAGGCAGGAGAATCACTTGAACCTGAGAGGCAGAGGTTGCAGTGAGCTGAGATCCCACCATTGTACTACAGCCTAGGTGACAAGAGTGAAACTCTTCTCAAAAAAAAAAAAAAAAAAAAAACAAGAATCTAGTGTCTTTTGGCTTTCAGCTTAGAGGTGAGGGTAATTTTATTCCTGGTTGGCCCACTGTCCCCAAACTATACTTCCATTTAAGGTTGACCCACATATTTATCAGACCTATTACTTCAGTTATCCTGATGTCCAGATTCCATTGAATGAAAATCTTATCCGTTTTTTGATCCAATTCTGCCTCATGCCAAAGACCAAGTTCTACTTAACTCCACTATCCTCTGGAAGCATAGGCCATTATGCCAGGCCAGAGAACTCGGAAAGACACCTATTACTTACTCAATCATAATTACCTTTTAACTATTAACCATAACTATTAGAATATATTAACCAGCCCATTCTTGATTTTATAGCACTTTTACCACAAGGAGTCACTGGCAACAAAGCAATTTGAAATTTTCTTCCCCTCCTCCAACCCTTTCATTTTCTTTCTTAACCTCACTATTTCTTCACTCTGTTTCCCACTTCTCATTCTTAGACGCACCTAAGAATAAAAACATATCAAAACAGGAGACTATGGGAACAGCAATCCAAGTCTCTCATTTCAGAGATGAGGAAACTGAGTCTTATTTCTCTAGTTTATTTCTCAGGAAAAACAGAATGAGAGAGAAAAGCCAAAGAAAGAGAAGATGATGATATCAGAAACATATGTCCTTCTTTCTAGAGCTTTTTTTTTTTAAAAAACAAAATACAAACTTATACATTTTCTGGACAAGAACTCTCATCTGGACCATCTAACATAATACAAAGTCATGAGGACAAAATAGTGCTGGAAAATAACACAGACTCAGTCTCTGCCTCTAAGTTATCAGGTCCCATGGGTGCTGGGTCCTGCCCTTCCTCTTTCTCTCAGGCCAGGCATTTATCCAACAAAGTGTCTTCAGCACACTCACTATTGAACAGGCTAAGGATAAGGGGTGACTTTGCCCTCAAAAAACTTACGGTCCAGCAGAAAGAAAATGAGCATCTAATAATTGAAACCATGTTTTTTTGCATACTAAGCATATAGGAATATGAACAAATGTAGCACCAAAAAAAAATGGAAAACAATCTTTTCCTAGAATGATACTTCCATTTTCTAGAACTGCCAGTAAAGTTTCCAGAATTTGTATCTGAGGTGAGGTTTTTTAGAAAAGTATATTCTGCAAAATGGACAGGGTAAGGAAGGACATCTCGTTCAGGGCAAGTAGCATATGAAAGGCATGAAATAATGAATAGCACTTGGATTTGGGAACAGCAAGAAGCAGCAGAGATGAGAGAAAAATCATAAGAAAAGGTTAGATTATAAAGTATCTTATGGATTATGCTAAGCATTTTACTGTATAAAAAATAGCAAGCCACAGATAACTTTACACTAAAAAGAGAAATGAGCAAACTGTGCTTTAGAAAGATCACTTTGTCAGGAATGTGTAGTAGCGCTTTCTAAATTTTAACATATGCTCAGTACACCCAGGTATCTTGATAAAATGCAGATTTTGATTCCTAAGTTCGGGGTTGAGGTCCAAGATGCTAATATTTTCTGGTGATGCTGATGCAGCTGTTCCTTGGACTCTGCTTCAAGTAGAAAGGGTAGAGGATATGTTATTAGGAGATAAGGCTAAAGTCAGGGAGATTAGTTCTGGGGCTAGTGTAATGATTTATGTGAGGGAAGATGATAACCTAATTAAGAAGTATCAATGAGGAAACAGGGAGGTGGTTACAGAAATGTTTAAAAGTAACATCAAAATGATCAAGGACTGATTGGATGTGAGGGCACAAAAGCCTTATTAAAGGATGGTGCCAAGCTTCTCACTTGGGAGTCTGGGATATAGGGATGCTGTTGCTACCGACCAAGATACAGAATTTAAGAGTTTCAAACAAGATCAGCTATAGTGGAAAGATGAGGTGAAAACAGGTAACAGAGCCAGGTAAATGGTGTTCAAGGTACTACAAAATATCCAAGTAGACAATGTCAGAGGTTGGTTTTGGATATTTGTATCTAAAAATTGGGGAAAGACCCCAGGTAGAATTACAGATTTTAAAATCATTAGAATTAATTCCAGTGAAAACCATGAAAAGAAATAAATTACCTACAAATTACCTATGTGTTGACATAGACTATAAAGAGAAGAGGCCAGACGATGGACTTCTAAGAATCATCAACAGTGAAAGAGCTAATGAAAAGATCCAGCCACATAGATGAGAGGGGACAGCTAGAAAGAGAGCAGAGGTACCAGGCAGAACAGTATTTTTTTTTTATTAAGACAAAATTTCACTCTTGTTACGCAGGCTAGAGTATAATGGCATGATCTCGGCTCATTGCAACCTCCACCTCCCAGGTGCCTAGCGATCCTCCTACCTCAGCCTCCCAAGTAGCTGGGATTACAGATATCTGCCACCACACCTGGCTAATTTTTGTATTTTTGGTAGAGACGAGGTTTCACCATGTTGGCCTGGCTGGTCTCGAACTCCTGACCTCAGGTGATCTGCCCACCTCAGCCTCCCAAAGTGCTAGGATTACAGATGTTAGCCACGGCACCAAGCCAGCAGAGCAATATCTTAAGAACTGAAGGAGCCGAGTTTAAAGGAGTGTTCATGACCTCGAGTACCAGAGAGAAAGAGAAGTCAAGTAAAAAAATGACTGAGACAGGTCCCATAAGTCCATCAAAGTCTCCCTGCCCCCATCCCCACAACAGTGCTCTAGAACACCAAAACAAGAAAAGAGAAGCTGAGAAACCCAAAGATGCTCTTTCCTAAACCACTGGAGGATCCACCAACTGGAATCAGCTTAGACTGTGCAGCTCTTCCAAAACTTTAGTTTTCCAATCTGTGCTGCAAATTCAACTTAAAATCTTCTTAAGCCTGGCTCCAAATTTTCTTGCTCTCTTAGGTATAATGATTGTATTTTACCATTTTCCACAGAAGAAACTGTGAGAAGGGGAGCTATTTCTCAATTTACAAAGTCACAAGTAAACAATCCACATGACAAGATATAAAGGATGTAATGGTTTGCAGAACACATCTGTCTCCTTGGAAGACTTTCATAATGGGTGATGGTGGTTGAGATGGTGGTGATAACTGTGGTGGTGGTGATGGTGATAGTAGTGGTAGTGATAGTGGTGGTGATCACAATAATGGTGGTAGTGGTGGCAATGGTTAGATGATGGTGATGGTGTTGAGTATTGATGATGGTGGTGGTGGTGCTGGCAGTGGTGGTGGTGATGGTAGTTGTGTGTGCATGCATGTGTGTGTGTGTGTCTTGGGGCAGAAGGGAGAATTATGAGGTAGATAAGCAGGACATTGGGAAGGAAATTAGAAGACTATGGTGTGGATTTCCAGATAAATAAAGGTGTAGGATATAATAAATTCCTCTTCAAAGGGTTTAGCCTGTAAATTGTTAAGTACAATGAGTTCTGAGATCCTCTACAAAGAACCAATGTATCAGTATGTTCAGCTCCCCTGTTCTTTGTTCTCCATTTTAAAATATAACTTCCTGGTTTTCTTTGCCCCTTACCCTAGTCTCAGTAAACAACTTTCCTGTCAGTCCTAATTAGTAGTTCACATCTGTTCCCCTCATCTCCTGTTTTGACCTGAGTCTCCTCTAGTTACCTGTTCTGTAACCATCCTTTCTGTCAAACTGCTCACCCCACCACTCTGGCTCATACCCCTGCTCCCTTTAAAATAGCCAATCGAAATTAGAGTAGACTGTGTGGTCCAACTGTAGCCAATAGGGGAACAACACAGCAGTAGGGGCTACCTGTGTCAGGGATAAGAACCCCTTCCTCTCCCCTGTTTGGGTGTGCACTCGCCATTGCTCCATCCATGAGATGCACCCTTATATAGAAGTAAAAAGTGCTTTGCTGAGAAAATTTATATTTGAGTGCTATTTCTTTTGTGGCACCAAAAATTTACATGTAACAAAAGGAAATACAGGTAAATTTGAATTTCAAAAAAATACAAGTAATTTTCAGTATGAGAATGTCCCATACAAATTTAATTTGGTGTCCAATATTTTTACTTGCTAAAACCAAGCAATCCAAGTGCATTTGGTAAAAGGATCTGAGACAGCTGACTCCTAGCTGAGGACTCTAAATGCCTTATATAATATTGCCTGCTAGTATCCTTGAAATAAGCTCCTTAGCCATAAGCCAGTCAAAAATAATCCTGTACAGAAACCATACAAATACTCTTACAGAGTATTTAAGAGGTCCTCTCCTATAAACCAAGAGTTTATAGGAGAGGACTTTGGTTTATACGAGAGGACCTCTTAAATACTCTGAAGAACAGAGTTTTGACATTTCTATAAATGCAAAAAAATATTTGAACAATGCTACTTGTAGAACAGAAGAAAAACCCTCCACCTCCCATCTCCCCATATCTGAAATTAGGGGAAAACCAAGTCCTTACGAGTCTGTGGCTCTGGCCATGGAGTAGCCATACAAGCTGTGGAAGTCATAGTGAAGGCCCCCGTTAAATTCCGTGTCCATGCAGAGGGTTCTTGCAAATAGTAAGTGGTCCAGAACTCCTGGAGGGAAATACTCATCAGTGAGGCACTTCCTCATCAACCATCTTTAACAAAAGAGCCACCCAATTATTTTCTTCCTGATTACTGTTCTTTCCTCACCAATCTCCACCTGACCAAATCTGTTCCAGATTTTAAATTCTATCCTAAATGCTATTTCCTGCCTGGGATTCACATTGAGCCCTCCAAGGAGATGGATCATTAAAATTAATCTGCATTCCCTCAAGCTCACAAAGAATCGTGGTGAGTGGAGGCAACTGAGAAACTTGCTCCGAGCAAAGGCAGTGGATTTGAGTCTAAGTATAAGGCATAATGTTTATCTACAGATATTTCATCAACAGAAATTGAGTGTACAATGTATAGGTATGAAGGTAGAGAAAGGGAATTTTTTCTTTTTTGTAATACAAACCTCAGTCACACTTAAAAGAAAAATAGGGGCTGGGCATGGTGGTTTACACCTGTAATCCCAGCACTTTGGGAGGTCAAGGTGGGTGGATCACCTGAGGTCAAGTGTTTGAGACCAGCCTGACCAATATGGTGAAACCTCATCTCTACTAAAAACAAAGAAATTAACTGGGCTTGGTGGCATGCACCTGTAGTCCCAGCTACTCAGGAGGCTGAGGCAGGAGAATAACTTGAACCCAGGAAGCAGAGATTGCAGTGAGCCGAGATCATGACCCTGCGCTCCAGCCTGGCACAGTCCATCTCAAAAAAAAAAAAGGAAAAAGAAAAAGAAGATGTGACATTTGGGAAACTTGATGTGTAAATACTCAAATTCTGCATCTGAGAATTCTCATTGTTTGCATTTTCTCTTCCTCAAGCCTAAAATGGCAAGTCTTCTCTGCCACTTCGTCTCCTTGTGAACTCTTCACTGGGGCCATATCTGCCTTCCTTCACAAAGTCTTGCCCATACCTAGGACCTGAGTGTGAGGCACAATTCCAGAAAGTGGTGGAATCAGGAAAAACTGAGGTTTTTTTCTTACCCAGTACAACAGAATCAAGGTTTGGAGTCAGAAATGAAGTTGAAATGGAAGATGGGAAGAAAATTACATTTCTCGCACAGCTAAATGTGTGGCATGAGATTCACAACCACTTCAATGCTCTTTCTCATGCTAATTATCGTGCACTATACAATCCTGGAAAAGGATGGGGCTGCCTGGCTATGGGCAAAAGTAGCCGGTCATATGTGAGTAGACAAAATGCTGGGGGCAGGGAGTGGGGTGCCCACCACAAGAAGTAGAAACTGATAGGACTGAGGTTTTCTATAGGAAAAAAAAAATCAAAAACAAAATGTACTTTTGGCCAAAAATAGAATTTAGAGATTAAGAGGAAAAAAAACATGATAAACAAATCCAGAGTGGAAAAAAGTGGGGGAATACAGACAGAGAAGAGAAGAACAAAGAATAAGTTGAAAAAGCAAACAGATTTTGCAAGAGGTCAACACTTCCTCCAAAAAATTATTTACTCCTTAAGTGACCTAAAGGAGTTAGAGAAACAGCTATACCTTGGTCTCAGGGGTATAAGTAAAGTGGGCAAACCAGAATACACTGGCAGAGGCTGTTCAGATGCCCAACAAGCCACATTCTCTTCCTGGAAGCTTAAGGAGATTATGGCCTGGTGTGGTGGCTCACACATATAATCCCAGCACTTTGGGAAGCCAAAGCAGGTGGATCACCTGAGGTCAGGAGTTTGAGACCATCCTGTCCAACATGGTGACACTCCATCTCTACTAAAAAATACAACAATTAAGGCCGGGCATGGTGGCTCAAGCCTGTAATCCCAGCACTTTGGGAGGCTGAGGCGGGTGGATCATGAGGTCAAGAGATCGAGACCATCCTGTTCAATATGGTGAAACCCCGTCTCTACTAAAAATACCAAAAATTAGCTAGGCATGGTGGCACGTGCCTGTAATCCCAGCTACTCAGGAGGCTGAGGCAGGAGAATTGCTTGAACCCAGGAGGCGGAGGTTGCGGTGAGCCGAGATCGCGCCATTGCACTCCAGCCTGGGTAACAAGAGCGAAACTCCGTCTCAAAAAACAACAACAACAACAACAACAATTAGCTGGGCATAGCGGTGTGCACTGTAGTCCCAGTTACTCGGGAGGCTGAGGCAAGAGAATAGCTTGAATCCCAGAGGCAGAGGTTGCAGTGAGCCGAGATCATGCCATTGCTCAGACAACAGCGCAAGACTCTGTCTCAAAAAAAAAACAAAAAAGAAACTATACCTTTCTTTGAGGTTAAGCTCAACCTAGGTGACCAGACTCTCAAAGGAATGTGGGCAAATTGAGAAAACCTCCCTTCCAGGCCTGCCCATAAAACCTTCTCCACCCTCTCTCTCCCTCACCCAGGGAGCCGGAAACAAAGGTCTCTGAGGAGATGGGAGAACCAGAAATAGATCTGAATCACCACTTGGTTTCTAGTCACCCATCCATCAACAGAGTATGACGTGAGCAAAAAGTACATGGTTATTGTGTTAATCCACTGAGATACTGAGGTTTATTTGTTGCCACAGCATAGTCTATTCTACACTGTGCCCCCACTCCACACATATTCTTTCAAAAGCAGAGACTGGAAAATTAACCTTGACTAGAAATGGGACCTATAAATAGGACATTGAAGGAACCACTGATGCTTTAAACTGTTGTTAATGATCAGAGAGAGGGAGGAGGGGAGGAGAAGAAAGAATAAGGGAAGAAGGAAGGAAGGGAGAATAAGGAGAAAGGAAGGAAGGAATGAAAGAATAAAGAAAACAAGAAAATTACAGATTTATTTTAGTTTAAGGTAATATGTATCTTAAAGTGTCCTGAAATTCTCATAGATTTTAATACTGACACCTGCAGGACTTGGGGAAAAAGAAGAGGATGGGCAGCCAGGGGAGGTAGCCAGGCTCGGACTCTGTCACGTGGCCCTCAAGTTATGACAGCAGAAGGGTAATCTCAGACCCAACACTGCTGCAGAGACTTCAGTAGAGGAGTGTTCAGGATGTTTAGGAGACCCCTTAGACTGGGAAGTGAAATTGCTCCTGACCACACTGAGGATTATTGAGGGGGTTAGAAGCATGGTTTATGCCTACCTCATTAGCAAACAGGTGAAAACTTACTAGGAGTAAAAGGAGGAAAGTTCAAGGTGTTTGATTCACACTGATCAGAAGCTTGACGCAGGCTAGATACTTCATTCATTTCCTTCAAAGACAGAAAACACACAAAGTATAAAATGCTATTGATTTACATTTAGCTGTTGAGAAATGCTTACTGAACTATGAGCCAGGATATCTGGGTCTCTTATTAATCGCTTTCTGGATTTTAAATAATAACTCTAACTTTTCCTGCCCTCTGTTTTATCTTTTACAAAATTAAGTCACTGTATTAGGTTATACATTTGTAAGGTATGTTCCACTTCTAAATGACAGTGGGCACATTTTTACCTTTTATAAATTTAATTCAATCAGTTACTTCAGAAATACCATTTCAAAGGTTGATCCTTGCCTTACAAATTGTGAAGATTTTATTGTTGTTGTTAAGAATGTTAGACCGGGCGCCATGGCTCACACCTATAATCCCAGCACTTTGGGAGTCCGAGGTGGGCAGATCACCTGAGGTCAGGAGTTCCAGACCAGCCTGGTCAACATGGTGAAACACCATCTCTACTGAAAATACAAAAATTAGCTGGGTGTGGTGGCAGGTGCCTGTAATCCCAACTAATCAGGAGGCTGTGGCAGAAGAATCGATTGAACCCAGGAGGTGGAGGGTGCAGTGAGCCAAGATTACACCATTGCACTCCAGCCTGGGGGACAAGAGTGAGACTTTGTCTCAAAAATTTAAAAAAGGATATAAGATATACTAAAATTTCTATAGTTCATTTATAACTGTCCCTATCCTTTATTTCTCTGAGTGAGGAACAATAAGGGAATATAATTAAGATCAAATCTATTTTTAAAAAATGAATTAAAAATAAGTGATGTCTAATCTTGGTAACAATTTTTTTTATCATTGCACGTCTTATTCATCAGAGTCCTTCCGAAAATGACTGGTTCAATGCCTTGAACATTGGCACTTAGAGAATATGGAAGAACTATTGTTCTTCCATGAAAAATACAAGATCCTTATTAAATTATTCTCTAATGTTAATTTAAATTTTTATTAATCCATGCTACAAAAAATGACAATTATAACTTTTAATAAAACAGCATTTTTAAGCTGACAGACAGTTAATGGAGAAAAAGAAAACCATGACCATGAGAAGCAAAAGACTTTATCAGAATGAAATAACTGTTGATGAAAGATACAGGATAAGAACCTAAGGCTCTTAGGAGCCTAATTCACTGGATATAGACTCAGCTATCAATATAAAATTCAGTAAGATAATTTTTAGTACCAATATGTAAAGCAAACTATTTTTATTACACATCAAGATCAAAATTAATCTGAAAATTTGGCATATCTGTTTCCAAAGGAAATTTGATTCTGCAATAATAACTTACAATCCACACTCCATCAAACTCCAGACGATTATGAAAGTTAAGGACCTGATCTGTCCACCACTCGGTGCACTCTGGATTGCTGTAATCGGGAAAGACTGTGGGTCCCGGATATCCCTAGGACACAAAGCGGAAGGCAGTGACGATCAGTTTGGCTGAAGGTTTTTTTACTTTTACCAGTGGTGATTTCTTCCACTAGGTGCCCCATTTTACTTGCCATTTCAGAAATAAAATTTGTGACTCCCTCAAAACTAAACAATAAAAAAACTAAACTAAGTAATAAAATACCTACAAGGAACAAGAGGAAGAAACAATAAAAACAACTGAGTAAATCAATGAAAAGCCACCATATGCCCTTTTCTATGCAAAAGAAAAGTAAAAAAGCACAATTTCATTATTTCAGGACAGTTGGGAGACAAATTGTTTAAATTATTAGAAAGTCTATATAACATTTTTAAAAAGAATGAGCTTTTTTCAAGCGTTGTTAATTAAGGTTTACATAAAGTCTACTTTGAATAATTATGATATAAATAATGTGTTGATATTTTTGGCATACAAACTACATTTTGTAAATGATTAAATGAAGTTCGTGCTTTTCACTCATGTCAATTGTTTTTATTCTATTTCCCTTTTCTGTCTATGCCTATCAAAGAGTAGATGTAACTATTTTCCACAACCAAGATATAACGACAGCCAAATTTTTAAAAATTCTGAAATAAAAGGATACTAGTTTTTGTTAAACATTTTTGCTCATTTTCCCGGTAAATTTATAGGTTGTAATTTAGGGACAACTTTACACTCTTGAATATAATGAATATGTATTTAAAAATGTGAATAATTTTCAAAACTCAAGATGAGAGCTTGAAATACCCATGGTAATGGATTGAGCTCCTGGCTCTTTGTTTTAGGTGATGAGCACCAATTAACAATTAGATGTAACTTTGCACCCCAGGAAACAGGTGGTATCATAAAACAGTCACCTACAGCAACATTCAACCTAGAGCAGGCCAGCAAACTTTATTCAACCAAGTGCATTTAAAGCAAACCACTTGCACCTCCACTACTGCTATCTCTGCCACTATCTTATTAAATGATCATGCCATTCATTGGCCAATGAAGTCAACCATCTAATTAGATCCTTGTAATTATTTGCAAGTTCTTGACTACATATCACTCAAATACGAGTACTATTGAAATGACTCAAGTGTGGATAAAATTTTAGGTGAGCAAGATAATTTTTATTTGACTATGGACTCTAAATACAGTATATACATATAGGCTTATCTAATATTTTAGAAATTAGCTTCTAACGAAACAGTAAAAGCAAAGACTTCTTGTGCAGAAGGAAGAAAACTTTCCTACTGCTTCAAGAAAAGTTAGAATCAATGAAAAAAAAAGTAAATAGAATTAAGCATCAAAAAAGTCAACGAAAGGAATTAAGTGAGCAGAGTTTGGTAAAAGATCATCCACAACCCTGAAAAGACAGTTTTGCCATCAAATGTTCTCACTTACAACTGGGTGTTGAACAGTGAGAACACATGGACACAGGGAGGTGGACATGACACACCAGGTCCTGTCGGTGGGTGGGGGACTAGGCAAGGGATAGTAGGCGGTGGGGGGATAGAGGAGGAAGAGCACTAGAAGAAATACCTAATGTAGATGATGGGGTGCAGGGGGGATGGATGCAGCAAACCACCATGGCACATGTATACCTGTGTAACAAAACTGCATGTTCTGCACATGTACCCCAGAATTTAAAGTATACTAACAATAATTTTCAAAATAAATAAATAAAAGGAAAAGGAAAAATAAAATATCAAAATGTTACGGTAGATGATAATTCAGTGATGTTTGCTTTGATAATTATAAATAATATGATTTTAGCTATCAATATAAAAAACTATAAGTAGATTCTTAGTTAATTCATAAATTTACTCTTGCTAACAGAATAAATAAATAAATAAAATTTTCTATGGAACTCTAAAAAAAGAAGAAAAGACAGCTTTACAAAATAAACTACTCAGGAGCAACAAGATCTGCAGTCACGTGAACTCTTTCCTTTTTTCTTGAGACGGAGTTTCACTCCTATTGCCCAGGCTAGAGTGCAATGCAATGGCACAATCTCAGCTCACTGCAACCTCCACCTCCTGAGTTCAAGTGATTCTACTGCCTCAGCCTCCCTAGTAACTGTGACTACAGGCATGTGCCACCATGCCCGGCTAATTTTGTATTTTTAGTAGAGATGGTTTTTCTCCATGTTGGCCAGGCTGCCTTGAACTCCCGACCTCAGATGATTCTCCTGCCTCGACCTCCCTGAGTGCTAGGATTACAGGCATGAGTCACCCTGCCCTGCCTCATGAACTCATTAGATGAAGCACTAATTTGAGTAAATCTTACAGAATCCGATCATCTAGTGCTGACCGTACATATAATTGAAATCGCCTATTTAAAGTACTCTCAGAAGTTTAGTTATCCTGAATATAGGTTACTGCTCAGTCTATTCCAATGCCTGAGACTGCTACCTTAGAATTAAAACTGTGCTCTATCTGTAAGTCTTGTGTAAATTTAAAATATAGGTGGGGCACAGTGGCTTACACCCGTAATCCCAGCACTTTGGGAAGCCAAGGCAGGCAGCTCACCCCAGGTCAGGAGTTCAAGATGAACCTGGCCAACATGGTGAAACCCAGTCTCTACTAAAAATACAAAAATTAGTGGGGTATGGTGGCATGTGCCTATAATCCCAGTTACTCAGGAGGCTGAGGCAGGAGAATTGCTTGAACCTGGGAGGCATAGATTGAAGTGAGCCAAAATCACATCATTGCACTCCAGCCTAGATGACAAGAGTGAAACTCCATCTCAAAAAAATAAAAATAAAAAAATAAAATACATTCGTTGAGATCAGTTCCACATTAATCTATGAGTATCTTGTTATATTTTTTTTGGTTGAATTTATTGTCTTAGGAAAGAGAAATTTCAAGGTGGGAGGGCTTTAGGTAACTAATTTTTCTTCTAATTACATATTGCTTCTCAATTATCTATGGTATTAGAGGATCAAGGGCTAGCTTTTTAAATCCTTCAGAATTGTAATCATTCTATTATTATATCAACTGGCTTAAAATAGTAATAAAGGAAACCTCTAAAGCCATGAAAAAACAGAAACAATATTGCAACCTTCCTTTCACCCATCTTCATACCAAAAGTACAAACTTCACAAAACAATAATAATTTCCTTTGATTTTCTTAACAGATTACCTCCCCAACAGCAGCGCCATTGTTCCCCATGATCCACACTCTTTTTATGCTTCCGTTATTATAAGGCTCGTAGCTAGAGTCTTTGGCGATGCCAGGATTCTAATAAATAAATATGATATAAATATTATTTTTATATTTTTTTGCACTGTGAAAGAAAAAATAAGGTAACAAGTGTTTGAACATACCATAATAATTAGATATTTCTGACCATTGTCATGTAACTCCTTGACAAAATCTGAGAGACCAGAGTAAGCATCTTCATCAACAGTGAAATCCTTCTTTCCATCCATGTAGTCTATGTCAGAGTACTGGACATCCTGAAAGAGAGCTCTGGCCAATTAGGACCTAGGAAAAAGCACTCTACTGATGGAAAGTATTACAGCTGTGGATCCTGACCATTAAAAATGAAGCCATATTTCCTAATATCCGGGAACTACCAGGGGTTGGCTACGTCTTAGAAGTAAATAAGCTGTCTTTGAAAGACATGATTGTTTTTTGGTTGCAGTTTTACCTCCTTGTCCTGACAGGTGCATGTCATAAAGTATTGGGAGGATTTGAGGGCAGGAATTGCATCTTGTTCATTTCTGTAACTTGAGAGCTTGAATGCTTGACATACAGCAAGTGTTCTTTAAATGATTGTTTGAATGAATTATATTATTAATGTTACAACCGTGTACCAACTTAACCCAAGCATCAAGCCAGAATATATCATACCAGGAGAAAATGATCTTTTACCCTATGAAAGTGCTAGAGTAATGATTAAGAATGATCAACGACAAAAAGATGAAGCCTTACTCAGCTAAATTCTCATGTACACATTTTTCCTTGTGTTTGCATGCCAGCCTATGAGGAGCAGGTGTTATTATTAGTGAGTAAATCGAAATGTGAAGGAGTATGTGCACTGAGAGGTGCAAGGGGCTGATGAGGGCTTTGGGGACAGGCCCTTTGGCTTCACATGCTTTTTTCCCCAATCTACCACCTTCCTCAAAGACAAAAGAAGTGTTCTTCTAAGTATTCCTCATGTATCATACAGTAGGAGTCTCCACCTTACAGGCCTGGAGGAATATGTGGCTTGGGGCCTGTTGCCCAACGTAGCATCCACTGTTCTAATACTGGACAGTCATGTGGGACCCAGGTGTCCTCCACAAACACATACGGGGAAAGATTTTATTTGTGGAAGACATTTCTTCCTGGAATTGGGTGTTTGCAGATAGCAGATATGGGAGAAGTAAAATTAAACACAATCAATGCCCCTTTAACACCAAAACATGCTGACCATCTGTTTTCTTACAGGAAAAATTGATCCCCCTGCCTGCCCTCATCACTATTCAGAGAGGGGATTGAAGAACCCTGAAAGAAGGTCCAAATCATTTCATTTCCACCTGTACAATCTTCCTTCAGATGTTAACATTATACATACATATATATATATATATATATATATATATATATATATATACGCACACACACACACACACACACACACACACACACACATATTTATATTTTGAGACTCTGTAACCCAGGCTGGAGTGCAGTGGTGCAATCTCAGGTCACTATAACCTCTGCCTCTGGTTCAAGTGATTCTCGTGCCTCAGCCTAATGAGTAGCTGGGATTACTGGCATGTGCCACCACAGATGGCTAATTTTTTTGCATTTTTAATGGAGACGGGGTTTCACCATGTTAGTCACGCTGGTGTTGAACTCCTGATCTCAAGTGATTTGCCCACCTCAGCCTCCCAAAATGCTGGGATTACAGGTATGAGCCACCATGCCCAGTCAACACTATATTCTTGCATCAAAGTTTCAAAATCCCAAAAGCTACCACAAGTAAGTTGTTTTGATAAATTCATTAGCCACATGTTTTGCACCACCTGGAGAAAATGATCAAGTATTACACATTTAATAATTATCTTGACTTACTGGTGGACAGTGAACATCATAAATACTGATATAACCATGAAGTTTTAAAATTAGAGTTTGTTAGATCTGGGAGGAGTATATGAGGTCACCATGAGAAAGTCATTTACTGTAAGTCATTATAATCATCAGCTCTTGCTACTCATGTCACCTCCAGTGTTGCTTTCTCTAATAACACAACAGCTATTAGAAGATGTTCACCTTCTGTGCTAGATGCTTTACATGCACGGTATAAGGCATTTCTTACTACAAGAGCACCAAAGTTAGCCTTACATTCTTATTCTATAAAAGTGGAAACTAAGACTCAGAATGTTAATTAATTAGCCAACATTGCTATGAAGAGGTAAAGCTAAAATTCAAAGCTATATCTATCTGACTTTATTAGCCGTATACTTTTCATCATCAGATATATAACTTAACATGCAAATTTCTGACAGCAAGTGTGCCTGTCTATCAATCAATAGATTTACCTACATTTCTCCTAATAAGCTGAATTCAGTGAAAAAAATTAAACTGGGAAATGGTGTCAAATGCATGGTAAAAGAAGTTCCGACTTACATATGGTATCTCAGCTAAACGATTTCGGCTTACAACTTCTTTCAAGTTATTGATGCCACCATAATCCCTGCGACTAAGCTGGAACCCAAGACTCCAATAGGAAGGCAAGAATGGCCGTCCAACAAGCTGAAAAGATAAGTAAGTAAGTGTCCAGGCTTTTAGCATAAACACTGCCCAGGCCTAACACTGAAAACATTAGCTCCCTTTCATTTTCTATGAGGTTTCCAGTGCTGAAAATGCCAGAGTTAAGAATAATCTTCTAGAATAATTTGTGAAATCCCACAATCACATCCTTCTTTACTAAGTACATAAATGTATTCCCAACATCAGACACTAATAAAATTTGCAGAAAATGTTTCAATAATGGTGTCATCTTACAGGAAACCTGGTAACATTCATTATTCTGTAAGTGTTTTTCTGAGTATTTGTTCACAGTGTGGCAAGGGCTAACAAGGGCATTTGGAATAAAGTGGCATGGAGCAAACACAGCTCCAGCCATCGGAGAACTCAGAGGAAATAAATAAATGTCTAATATAACTTCGGATAGTGGTGTGTGCAAAGGGTAAAGGAATAAGAACTGATGAGATTAGCATTAGGATTACAGGTGCACATCACACCCAGCTATTTTTTTTTTTTTTTTTTTTTTTTTTTTTTTTTTTTTTTTTGAGATGGAGTCTCGCTGTTGCCCATGCTGGAGGGCAGTGGTGTGATCTTGGTTCACCTCAACCTCCACCTCCTGGGTTCAAGTGATTCTTCTGCCTCAGTCTTCCGAGTAGCTGGTACTACAGGTACATGCCACCATGCCTGGCTAATTTTTGTATTTTTAGTAGAGATGGGGTTTCACCACGTTAGCCAGGCTGGTCTTGAACTCCTGACCTTGTGATCTGCCCACCTCAGCCTCCCAAAGTGCTGGGATTACAGATGTGAGCCACCGATCCCAACCTCAAGTTTCTTCCTTTTCTATAATTTGAGTCAAATATAAATAGCAAAGTTTATTCAGGTAGTTCCTTTTCACTGAATTTTAATTTATCGAATGAATAAGCTTTGATGATTTGTGGAATACATGAATGGACTACCAGTTACTTGAAAATAGGATGGTGTCTGACTTCTTTTTGCATTTCTCAGGCTTTACACAGAGTCTCTTTGGCATGCAGAAAGCCCCCAATAAAGGTCATCAAAATAAATAAACAATGGATGAAAGACTCACTATCCCAGCATTTATAATCCATACAGTTTACTAATAACTTTTATTTTTCTCTTATTAATTTATAATGAGCATATGAGATAATAGTAGTAAATAATGACTATCTAAATGCAAAGACAAACCTCCAAGTATTCCTGAACCACTTGTTCTGGAGTGTTTCCTAGGAATACATAAAAATCAAGAACGCCCCCAATTGTGCGGTAAGTGATCGCAGGAGCTGGCTGAAGGGTAACCTCTGAAAAGATTAAAATGAGATTTATTAGAATTTTGTGGTTGGAAATAGAGTCTTCTCTAGAGTATGAATAGCTGAGCCATCTAAAAGAATCTCAGTCTCATTTTGAAAGGGATGAAAATCACACTGTTCTTTTTATCAGAGGGTTGTTGTTGGAGATTATACAAATACTGAATGTGTAAGAAACCAATGAAGAATTGAGGGATTTTTTTGTTTGTTTGTTTTTTAAGAGAAAGAAGAGGCTGGGTACAGTGGCTCATGCCTGGAATCCCAGCACTTTGGGAGGCCAAGGTGGGCAGATCACAAGGTCAGAAGTTTGAGACCACTCTGACCAACATGGTGAAACCCCATTTCTACTAAAAAAAAACACAAAAATTTGGCCAGTGTGGTGGCACATGTCTGTAATCCCAGCTACTCAGGAGGCTAAGGCAGGAGAATTGCTTGAACCTGCATGGTGGAGGTTGCAGGGAGATGAGATTGCATCACTGCACTCTAGCCTGGGTGACAGAGCAAGACTCCATCTCAAAAAAAAAAAAAAAAAAACAGAAGAAGAACAAATATCATTTTAACCTGGCCACATAAAAATACAAACTTCTGGGTTTCGTGAGTGGCTTCGCCCCCCAAAAAAAGTTTTAAAAACTTTATTAGATGAGTTTGACTATAATTAAATATTTAAAAATAAATAAAAATGTTTTTTAGAGTGCTATTAATCCAGAAGCTGGAGGATGAAGATTCTGGAGGGGGAAAGAATCTTCTCATAGCCTCTGGTGGGCTATGGGCTATGAGAAGTAGGCTACAAAACACAGCCTTGTTGCCTACAGACAGAAAGCACACTTTACATGTTGAAATCTACAGGAAATTTTGGAATGTGTCTATCAGTGGATCCTATTTTCTACAGACCATGAGGGAAAAGATTATATCAAAGAAGATCCCCGAAATGGTTTTCAGTAAAAATAATAACCTGGATTTGTAGACAGTTAACCTACTTTCAGGTTCCAGTTTCAACAAAAGTATTGTAGGCTCAATATGCCTTCTGTTCAACGGTGATCTCACCATAAAAGTAATTTTTTATAAAGGCAGAATCCTAAAACATATCCCTATCTACAGAAGACAAAAAGATGCTTCCTACCCATGGCATTACTGTTCATCAGAAACACTCCGAAAGAGGAGCCACTGGTGTCTTCAAGGCATAAGAAGAATGTATGAGCTCCGTACAGATTAATCATGCCCTATCAGCAAAACAGAAGAAAAGTAATAGTGTTATGTGTTAAGAAAGTTTCCATTCACCCTAAAATAAATTCAAAGTCATCTATAACATATACTTAGTCAACACTTCATGCAGTTTAACATTGTATCAAAAAGGCATTGAAATGATATTATCAAGTGGAAAATAAATAAACAAAATATGATAAAGCTATACAATAGAATTCCATTCAACAATAATAAATAAAATAATTATACACACTACAACATGAATAAACCTTTAAAAGTGTTATGCTAAAGGAAAGAAACAGACACTAACAACCATATATTGTATGATTTCATTTATATGAAATATCTAGAAAAGTCAAATCTATAGGGACAGAAAGTAGATTAGTAATTGGCTAGGGCTGAAGTGAGTTCTGGAGTTTAAGTCTCAAAGCTCAGAAGGGATCCTATTGGGGTGACGCCAAAGTTATAGAACTGGATTATGATGATGCTGGCACAACTCAGCAAATGTGCTCAAAGTCATTGCATTGCACACTTAAAAAAAAATGTATGGCCAATAAATTATAACTCAATCAACTTATTTTGTAAACATTGAAACATATTTGCTATGATATATGCCAAAATATTAGCAGAAAGTTATGGTAATATGTAATTTTGAATTTTTTATGCCTAACTTTATTTTCTAATGTTTCTATAGTTAGCATATAATACTTAAGTAGTGAAAAAAGCCTTAAACTATTAAATTAAAACCAATTTTAAAAAGAAAAAAATATTGAATCTGTGACAAAGCTGTGATGAACACTGACATAAAAAGAGATAACGTGTGTGTATAACTCTAAGTGCTCTAAGAACAAAAGATGTTGAGATTAGAATATGGAGAACATTTTACAAATTCCCTGTGTGACAATGTCATGACCTTAGCCGCAGCATAAGGCAGTAACTCTGATAATGATAATTACCAGGAAGGGGAAAAAGAGAATCAACATAATTTGCAAAATTGAGAAGACCAATAAGCCTTGGCTAGATGTAAAATTATAGCCAGGAAAACTTACGGCATCACACGGTAGCATACAGACAATTTTTTAAAAAAATTAAGAAAGAAAAAAGCAGGAGAGAAAGGAAAGAAAAAAGAAAAACAGGAAGGATGGAAGGCATTACATCTAATTTGTGACTATACAATTTAGAAATGTCAGCTATAGAAAGTCAAATGTAGTACGATTCTTAGTATTCAATATTTGCCAGGGCCCTTGACCAAAAATTTATTGACTGTGTTGGTCATTGCTTTTCTGTCTTTGCTCTGCTCAGCAAGTTCACTCCCTCCATTGCACCAGATGCTGGTAGCTGGGCTACAGGTTAATGTGCTACTCGCTTTGTTCGTCTCCTGCCGAATATGAACTGCAAAATGTCAGCTCGCTCTCTCCCTTGTACCATACTTCAACCCGCAGCTCTTGCACAAATCCAAGAAATATGATCAGCACGATGGAGGTTTCAAGACATCCTCTACAAACCTATGTGACTCAAAGCGTTGTCCATGATACCGCCCCAAACCCTTTGCTATCAGTCAGCCCACAAGACAAGTATGAAAACCAAAAGTCAGTTTAGAAATTCTTCTATAGGAATTGAAAAGGGCAATTTTAGTCTGTTCAACTGAAAATGCAGGCCTTTTTGGTATGTCTTTGCGCTTTATTTTATTTCATTTTCCCAGTAATATATTTTAATTGTGTTTTACAAAATTATTGCCCATGATGGATTTTTTTTTCTTTTTAAGAGAAAGAAACTTGTCCTTCACTCCAGATAAGCTGAGAGGCACTAATCTAAAGCAGTCCTCATACTTCAATATGAATGTGAGTCACCTGGGGATCTTGTTAAAATGCATATTTGGATCCAGTAGGCCTGGGCTATGGCCTGGGATTCTGCATTTGTAACAATCTCCCAAGTGATGCCAACGCTGACATCTCTGAAACATACTTTCACAAGCAGACACCTAGAACAGCATGAGAGCTGTCAAAAGAGACATGTTTAGTCCACCAAGTTCTGCTGAGCATGGCTCCTGCTGAAGCCCTCCTCCCTTCAGTTATTAAACCAAGACATAGTAATTTGGCAGAAGTATTTTCTAATATACGCTAGATTCTAATATAATCATGAAATTATATATCCCATTAAAAGTGAGAGTTGTTTAAATGCTACATTTCTAATTGCTAGAAATTTTCTAACTTAAATTTTTTTATTTCTAATATTGATATATTCCTGACTTTATGGGCCTCAACAACAAATATTCCTCAACACTAACATATCTAAAATGAGCAAAGTAAGATACAGATGTATTCCTGCAGGCTACTTTTAGGAAAGGAAGGAGGGTATCCCTTCCTGTGGGCAATACTCAGGAGGAAAGGCACCTCACCTCAGTGGGGGTGGCATCCCGGGTGAAGATGGGCCAGGTCTTCCAGGTCATGTTGTGAAGGTACTGCTGGTGCACATGCTCTCCCAGCCCATACACATTGTCACTGGGCAGTCGGAAAGACAGTTGCAGGTACTGCTGGGCAAACTGGAGGGGCCCAATGCTCGTGTCCAACCTGGGCCATGGGGTAGGTAGAGCAAGAATCACTGAAAACACTCTTTCCTCTGCCAGAAAGCTACCTTCTCCTTTCCACATACACTTAGACATCTGTTGTTTCAGGCATTATCATCAATTTTCATGCTACCTTAGAAGGCCTTTCTAGGGCACCTCTGGTTCTTTGATTCTAGAGGAAGATAGCCTTAGAGGCAGAAGGCCAGAAGCTCAGACTGGACAATTGGGGAAAGACAGCAGAGTTGACTTCACATTTAATGTGCATCTACTACATTCCAGGCACCACTCTGGGTGCTTTATAAACAACATCGCATTGCCCCTAGCAAAAGTGGATATTTTGATTCTCCTTTTTTGGAAAAGGAAACTGATGCTGTTGAGGAGAGATATTTTGCCTGATACATAACACAGCTGAGCTGATTGTTATCTGCTGGTGCCAGGATGTGAACACTGGTTTTACTAACACTAATACTTCTATTTTCCCCAGTATGTGAATTAAGCTTAAACTGTTGATCATTGCTTGATAGTAAGATTCACAGTAAATAATTTAAAATGATAGACAAAGAAGTTTGGGTTCCAGTATGAATAATAATTTAAAACAATAAAACCCTCTATTTTACAACATATGTAAACCACAAGTATATTTATGTGTATATATAACTATATCTTATACAAATAAATATATTACATATATTATACATGTAATATATAAATATACTACATATATTATACATGTAATATATAAATATATTATTAAATTTTAAATAAATGTTATATAAATTAAAATATTATGTAAAATATATTTTCTATATTTGATATATTAATGTATATTAAATATATATTAAAATGTATATTTAATATAAATGCATATGAATATATTATATAGCTATATAATCTATATATTATATGTAAATATAGTTAATATGACATATTTATAAATTAAGACATATTTAATATGATCTATATTAATATATTTAATACTATATTTAAGTATATTATATATACTTATATAACTTAGCAAACATTTTAGTATTACAGTTTAGTATTCTTTGTTTTATGAGCATGATAGACTAACACTGTTATTTTACAGCAAAAGCTTTGACATTTTCCTGATATTCAAACATTTTCTCTAGTTGTACTTATTTCACTGCCCACCCACGGTAAATCAGAATGAGTAATATTGGAACTGTGTTTTCAAAGATGCACAAAGAGGGTCGAGGTGCTCACAAGACTCTTCCGTTGCTTGTCCTCATTATTTTGATGCTGAAAGGTTTATCAGTAGCCTCCATGTAATAGCTCAAATTGGTGACATTAGGAGTGCTATTAATTGTCTCAATATTTTCATGGGAAACTTCATAGCGCATGTTATTAAAGTCAGTGATCTGTCAAAAGAAAAACAGAAGGAACAACTGAAGATAAGATCAGTTCCTTGTAGATAGAGCTATACAAGATCTTCCATCTCAAATAGTGTCCCCTGAGAATAGCTTCGAGTTCTTGACACTGTAGTTTCTGATTTTTGAAATCACCCAATTATGTGTGCCTCATCAAATAAAAATTAGCCTGCCCATCCCATCCAGAGATTTCTGCAGAGTGGGAGAGAGGTACTTTCTGCCTCCACACTTCAAGCCCAATTGGGGCACACTGATTTCTTCAGAAATATATTTAGCAGTCACTCCCAAACTAACCTTAAAATGAAACCGATTGGATGTCTGATATTCAGCTGTGAAAAGGGTGGTGGCGACATCATTTCCAAACAGAGATGGGGTTGGCAACCTTTTCAACTGAGCAGTAAATCCTAGGGGTGACAAAGTATGGGGAGAAAGAGAAAGAGACTGACTTTTAGCATTTTTTTTTCTTTGAGATGGAGTCTCGCCCTGTCACCCAGGAGTGCAAGGCTCACTGCAACCTCTGCCTCCCGGGTTCAAACGATTCTCCTACTTCACCTTACCAAGTGGTTGGGATTACAGGTACCCACCGTCACACCCAGCTAATTTTTGTATTTTTAGTAGAGAGAGGGTTTCACCACATTGGCCAGGCTGGTCGCAAACTCCTGACCTCTTAATCTGCCCGCCTCGGCCTCCCAAAATGCTGGGATTACAGGTGTGAGCCACCGCACCCAGCCAACTTTTAGCTTTTATTTTATTTTGCAGTTAACAAAGACAGTCAGAAAGACAGTTCTAATATACACTAGGAGCTGTACCCAGGGAGCTACATCAGGGCAGTGCTGACCTGTGCTTGTATTTGTGTGGCCATTGCTGGCTTCATAGCCCCAGTTCCTGGGGAAGAAGCAGGCAGGGACATTGGCATCTGCCACAGGCGACCAGCAGCACTTATATTTCCATCTGCAGGTATCCTGTAACAATGACACAGAGTTAGCAGCATACAAAATGAGGGAAGGAAAGTATTATCTGTCTACTTATTTATAACCCATTTTATTTCAAGGAGAATTTAAGATAGGTTATAATTACATTCATTAATTTATTCTTTCTTTACTCATGCATCTATCCAACTGTGCAATATGTATTATCTACCAGACATGGAATTATAATACAGATAAATAAGACATAGCTTGTGCCTTCTGCAAACATACTATCTAGTGGCAAATCTATACAACTAGGAAAGCAATTACAGTATGAAGATATGAGGGCTCCACAAAGTGTGCCCGGGAGCTGAGGGAACACACAGTCACTGGACCCAGCCTAGTAGGCTTGGAGTGGGGTGGGGATCACTTCCAGGTAAATGAAAGGTAAGTCCCGTCATAAAGCACCAAGGGAAGTTAGACAGAAGAACAGTATTCCCAGCAGAGAAAGCAGCAATGCATGACAAACTCAGGAAAACCACACATTTCTTGTGCCAAGAACACTGAGTATGAGAATGAAGCTGGAAATCACATAGTGTTTTTAACCATGAGTGGGCTGGAAGCCAGTCCAAGCAGTTTGGACTTTCCCATGAGGAAGAGTCATGCAAGTGGCTAACAATACAGCGAAAAAGAAAAGCATTTCCAAAAAGTAAGCAAAGTGAAGCTAAGAAAACTAGAGACAATTAAAACTAGGACAGAGTGTAACACAAAAATTCGCAACGTCTATACTATGTCCAAGGCAAAAACAAATCACGTGGATTTTTCTCAGAGTGGTTTGATTATGAATATTCTTTTGTTGTTATTTAGCAAGATTTATTTTGTAAAGATCTTATAATTTTCAGATTAATTTACATAAAATTATTTTGTTATGATAAATAAAACAAATAGAAACTGGGACCAATGTGTTAGAATAAACACAAGCATTCACCTTCCTCATCTAACTAAATTTACATGAAATGACAGAAATATTTTAAGAAAAAAGTTACAAATCTTTTTATAAAATAGCAAAATAAAATGCAATATGGCAGGGCAGAAATTCAATTACAATTGAATTTTTTTTTTTTTTTTTGAGATAGAGTTTCATTCTTGTTGCCGTCTGGAGTGCAATGGTACCGTCTTGGCTCACTGCAACCTCTGCCTCCCAGGTTCAAGTGATTCTGCTGCCTCAGCCTCCCAAATACCTTGGATTACAAACTCCCACCACCACTCCTAGCTAATTTTTGTATTTTAGAAGAGACAGGGTTTCACCATGTTAGTCAGGCTGGCCTCGAACTCCTGACCTCAGGTGATCTGCCCACCTCAACCTCCCAAAGTGGTGGAATTACACTGTGCCCAGCCTACAATTGAATTTCAATTACAGTTACACCTACAAATGAAATTCAATTACAATTCAAGGTGAGATTTAGGTGGGAACACAGAGCCAAACCATGTCCTTCTGCACCTGGCCCCTCTCAAATCTCATGTCCTCACATTTTAAAACACAATCATGCCCTTCCAACAGTCCTTTAAAATCTTAACTCATTCCAGCATTAATCCAAAAGTACAAGACCAAAGTCTTATCTAAAACAAGGCAAGGCCCCTCCGCCTATGAGCCTGTAAAATCAAAAGCAAGTTAGTTACTTCCTAGATACAATGAGGGTACAGGTACTGGGTAAATATACCCATTCCAAATGGGAGAAATTGTTTCCAAATGAAGGGGCTACAGGCCCCATGCAAGTCTGAAATCCAACAAGGCAGTAAAATCCTAACACCCTGAAATAATCTCCTTTGACTCCATGTCTCACATCCAGGTCATACTGATGCTGAAAGTAGGCTCCCACAGCCTTGGGCAGCTCTGCCCCTGTGGATCTGCAGGTACAGCCACCCTCCTGGCTGCCTTCATGGGCTGGCATTGAGTGTCTGTCGCATACAGTGCAAGCTGCCAGTGGATCTACCTTTCTGTGGGCTGGAGGACAGTGGCCCTCTTCTCATGACTTCACTAGGCTGTGCCCAGTGGTGACTCTGTATGGGGGCTCTGACCCCACATTTCTCTTCCGCACTGCCGTAGCAGAAGATCTCTATAAGTACTCCACCCATGCAGAAAACTTCTGCCTAGAGATCCAGGCATTTCCATGTGTCCTTTGAAATCTAGGTAGAGGTTCCTATACCTTGATTCTTGACTTCTGTGTACCCACAGGCTCAACACTATGTAGAAGCAGCAAAGACTTGGGGCTTACACACTCTGAAGCCACCATACCTTGGCCCCTTTTAGCCATGGTTGGAGCTGCTGTGACACAGGATACCAAGCCCCTAGGCTGCACAAAGCAGAGGAACCCTGGGTCAGGCCCATGAAACCGTTTTTTCCTCCTAGACCTTCTGGCCTGTAATGGAAGGGACCGCTGTGAAGATCCCTGACATGCTGTGGAGACATTTTCCCCATTGTCTTGTAATTAACATTTGGCTCCTTATTATTTATGCAAATTTCTGTAGCTGGCTTGAATTTCTCATCAGAAAATTGGTTTTTCTTGTCTATTACATGATCTGGCTGCAAATCTTCTGAACTTTTATTCTCTGCTTCCCTTTTAAACCTAAGTTCCAATTCCAAACCATATATTTGTGAATATATAAGCTGAATTCCTTTAACAGCATGCAATTCACCTCTTGAACATTTTGCTGCTTAGAAATTTCTTCTGCCAGTAACCTAAATCATCTCTCTCAAGTTCAAAGTTTCACAGATCTCTATGGCAGGGGCAAAATGCCACCAGTCTCTTTACTATAACATAGCAAGAGTCACCTTTATTCCAGTTCCCAATAAGTTTCTCATCTACATCTGAGACAAGCAGCAGTTGGTCAAAGCCACTCAACAAGTCTCTAGGAAGTTCCAACTTTCCCACATCTTCCTGTCCTCTTCTGAGCCCTTCAAACTGCTTCTATCTCAGCCTGTTACCCAGTTCCAAAGTTACTTCCACATTTTCAGGTATCTTTACAGCAACACCCCACTACACGGTACCAATTTTCTGTATTCGTCAGTTCTCATGCTGCTAATAAAAACATACCCAAGACTGTGTAATTTATAAAGGAAAGACATTTAATGGACTCACAGTTCCACATGGCTGGGGAGGCCTCACAATTATTGTGGAAGATGAAGGAAGTGCAAAGGGACATCTTACATGGCAGCAGGCAAGAGAGCTTGTGCAGGGGAACTCCCCTTTACAAAACCATCAGATCTCATGAGACATATTCACCATCATAAGAACAGTATGGGGGAAACTGACTCCATGATTGAATTATCTCCACCTGGCCCACCCTTGACACACTGGAAGTATTACAATTCAAGGTGAGATTTGGGTGGGGACAGAGTCAAACCATATCACTTGCATTAAAAAAAAAATGAGGAATGTGTAATTTTAAGATTTTGAACAAGATTTAAAACTCTTTAATATTTCAACTGAATTACAAAAGAAAACAATGAAAGAGAAGTGTTATGAAAAAAAAACTTTAAAAATCAAGTTCCAGATTATCCCAGAAAATAATACAAAAAGATAAAGCAATGGAAAATATAAAAGAAAGAGTAGGTGAAGTGACAGACTCAGATAGCAGCACTCAACTAAGAAGACTCCAGAAGGAAAAGAAGACAGATGAGGGAGAGAAAAACAAGGAAAACGTCACGGATCACGAAAAACTCAGTCTACAACCCAAGACAGTAGAAGAGTAGAAAACAAACCCACAAAAAGTATGTGATAGAATAAAAACAAAAGCAGTAACTATAAAGAAGCAAGTAACTACATTCATCAATTCAAAACATCCATTGAGTGCCTGTTCTGTTAAGGAATTCATCCAGATTTCAGGGGCACAGGGTTGTCAGCAAGGACAGGGGGACAGATACCACCATTAATCAAATCAAGCTTGTTTCTACCACTGATTTGCAGCATCATTTTTATTGCAAACTAAATTTAAGTGAACACATATGAGCATGTGAATATGCATTTTAGGACTGCCTATTATATACTAATGGCTTAGATGTCATTCCTGTTGTAATTCCACACTGATATTACTATAGTGTGAGGATATGTTTTGTTATCAATCTAAGAGTTTCTTTGGAAACATTGAGGAAATAGAAATTCCTTATCAAGTCTTATTTTGATTAAAAAAGGGAAAAAAAACAAGATTTAAAACAAAAATGAAAAATGACAACAGATATGAAGAATAAGAATCATGAGAAAACTGATTTGTGACAAATGTTAGCCAATGAATGTGAAACTCTAAATTAAATAAATCTTTACATAGTAAAAGTTTAAATAATCAAAATTGTATAAGAAGATATGGAAAACCTGAAATGACAAGTAATCATGAAAAACTGTGATAGTTAAGAACCTTTCCCTAAAAAAAAAAAAAAAAAAAAAAAAAAAAAAAAAAAAAAAAAAAAAAAATCTTTCCCAAATGAATTGAAGAATAAAATGTCCTCATATTATATACATTACCTTTTTAGAATATAGAAAAAGGTGGAAAATTTACTAATTTATGTTATGAAACTAGAATAATTCTGGTAGCAAACTAATAAGGACAGTCCAGATAAACAAGCAAACAACAATATATAGGCCCATTTCACTTAGAAAAACATAGATGTGTAGTTTTGATTTGCATTTCTCTAATGACCAGTGATGATGAGCATTTTTTCATATGTTTGTTGGCTTCCTGTATGTCTTCTTTCGTAAAGTGTCTGGTCATATCCTTCGCCCACTTTCATGCCAATTCAAATGGCGATCATTACAAAATCTGGAGACGACAGATGCTGGAGAGGATGTGGAGAAATAGGAACACTTTTACACTGTTGGTGGGAATGTAAATTAGTTCAACCATTGTGGAAGACAGTGGGGCGATTCCTCAAGGACTAGAAATAGAAATTCCATTTGACCCAGCAATCTCATTACTGGGTATATATCCAAAGGATTATAAATCATTCTACTATAAGGACACATGCACAAGAATGTTCACTGCAGCATTGTTTACAACAG